AGCTCTTCCGTGGAGAAAGATGAGGCGTGCTGCTCCCATAAAGATTTACAGCCTCGGAAACCCTGTACAGGGTCTCTATGAGTCAGAACCGATCCCATGGCACATAACAACAACAACAAATCTCTCGTGGAGTTGCTGGGTGGGTTAGCACCCTGAGCACCTAACTATTGACCACTGGGGTTACTTCTACTCTGTCACATACTGTTGCTGAATTGGAACCATTCTATGGCACACAAGGTCTGGCTAATAACTTGGAGTCCTGGAAGGCCTGTCTATCTCTTCCTCCCACTGCAGGGTTTCCTTTTAGGGCTATAGTGGATGCCAGTCGCAGCCAGGCAACACTGCGCCACCTGGCTGTTTTGTTCTCCCCGCCTTTGGGAAGGTGACCGTCTTCAATCTGGTGCATCAGTGCCCTCTCGTGGTCAGATGCTGAAATAGCTACTTCCTCCACACAGGCTGTTTGCTGAAGGATCTTCTAGTTTGTTCTGATTTCCATTTTGGCCAAGGCAGTTTATAAACTTTAGCTAAGCCTTTGCTGACCAGAGAGGATCTGTCCCTCTACCTATGATATAACTGTCATTAGTGTATAATCATCAGTACCTCCTTTCCTCTCTAAGCGTCTGTTTCCTACTTGTTAAATGAGGGAATACATTTAAGATGATCATCTTTAACATTTAAAATTTAGGATTCAAGTTCTTTGGATTTAAGAGCAGTAGCGTAGTGGTTATGAATCGGGCTGCAAACCTTAAGGTCAGCAGTTCTAAACTACCAGCTGTTCTGTGGGAGAAAGATGAGGCTTTCTGCTCCCATAAAGATTTACAGCTTCGGAAACCCTGCACAGGGTCACTATGGGTCGGAACCGACTTGACGGCACTTAACAATTCATTGAATACTTCGAAACTTTCTATGTGCCCAACATATTAGTTTGGGATACATAAGAAAGCAAATTTCTGCATTCCTGGACTTTTAAAATTGTAGCAGGAGACATAACAAAACCAAACCCACTGCTGTAGATTCCAACTCAGAGAGACCCTAAGGTTTCCAAGGGTGTCATCCTTATGAAAACAGAGCGGCCAATGGGTTGGAATCCCAGAGCTTTCCGTTGCAGCCAAGTGCTGTAACCACAGCACCACCAGGACTCCTTCAGTTAATTACTAATTTATTAAAGAAGTTAAGGACCTAGCAGGTTAGGTGATCCATGCTATGGTAAGATGGAGCAGGCAGGGAGAGTCAGCATGGTGGCAGAGGTGAGGGGCAGGGAGGGTGCACTGTTAGATGATGCATTCAGGACAGGACGCCTGGAGGAGAAAGGTACCTCTCTGAGCAATGGCCTGGAGGAGGAGGTTAGAAGGGAACTCGTTATGCAGAATTTCTTAGGGAAGAGCATTCTAGGTAGAGGAAAACCCATGTAGCAAGCATCTGGGTCTATCTCAGAGGGAGTTTTTGATGATGTTGCTGTTGTTAGGTGCCGTCAAATCGGTTCCAACTCATAGTGACCCTGTATAGGGTTTCTGAGGAGCAGCTGGTGAGCTTGAACAGTCCATCTTGAGGTTCAAACCAACCTTGCAGTCCAGCACATTAACCTGCAGTGCCACACCAGGACTCCTTTGATATGTATAATGATTATGTTGTTAAGTGGATTTCAGTAGGTTCTCACTTATAGCAACCCTGTATCTGGTTTCCAAGGCTGTAATTTTTGCAGGAGCTGAAAGCTTCCTCTTTTTCCCATGGAGTGGCTGACGACCTTGTGATTTGAATTCCAGTGTTTATTCATTGGATAAGCACGGGACTGCTAACCATAAGGTCAGTAGTTCAAACCCACCAGTGGCTCCTTGGAAACCCTATACAAGGTCACTATGAGTCAGAACCGATTGGATGGCACTTAACAACAACAAACTAAACCCACATGAGATTCCACTCCTAGTTCCTACTTTTTAAATGCCTTTTCTAGAATTTCCACCTAGAAATTTCATTTCTATTTCACTCATTTCTGAAATACCCAAGGTGCAACCAGTACCACCCCAAAAAGACACAGATCCAAGTGAAGAAATTTATTTACTTTTTTTTCTCTAAGGACATAATTATAGACATGTTTTGATACATAGGAAAACCCTTCCGTCCACCTCTCTTTTTGCTACATGAATCACAGGAATTTTTACAGTTTTTTTCCAATAATACACAGCTTTCTTGGGCTGAAGCTATTGCAAGAGCATACTGGTACTGGTATATTACAGCTACTTACAATGCTTTAGAACAGCAATGGAGAAAAATAAGTTATTTAAATATTGATTTCATATACAGAAAGTGCAATGTTGTTAGTTGTTATATAACTTGCTTGACAGTTTCTTGTTTTCTTTAGCAATTTAAAATCAAGGTAATTTGGACACTGATTGCTAGGTGTTTTGTTTTGTTTTTCTAAACATAATACAGTCCACCCAGGTGGTGGGGACGTAGTCAAGTGTCTGGTCTTGTTGTGCAGTGATGAAAGCAAACTCTGCTAAGTTAAGAGCTGATGTCCAGTAGACTAGTGACCTAGATGGCACCCACCCCAGGGTTCAGGATGGAGCCAGGGCCTCTGAGTAAGGCCAAACAGACCATGCTTCCTGGTCATTTGGGAATGTAAATAGTAATGAGGGCTGGTTGGCTGTCTTTCCTTCCAGACAGACAGCTTTGGAAGTAAGAATGATACACAATGAATGTGTAGCTACCTGAGCCCAACAGCCTTTCCAGGTGTCTTTTGTGCTTTTTCAAACCCAACACTTTCCACTGTTATGCAGAATTCAGTACCAGATGCAACTGATAAAAATTGGATACCGCTGAAGCCCACCCTCTGCCTACTAACACCCACCAGTGGCCCCAAACCACCGCAGTCAAATGTCACACGCAAACATTCGGGCTTTTCTAGGATCCACTAAAAAGTTTAAAGCAGAAGAGGACCAAACAAATACTAAAGCGATTAAAAGAAGATTTAAAACACAGTGTGATAAAATCAAACTGCAGACATCTCAGACTAGACAGACTTTCCCCTTGGGCATTATTCCTGGTCCCTGAATCTGATTTTCTAGGCAGAGGGAAGGACTTAAGTCACTCAAATCCAGAAGGTTCCCTTTTCTGGTGCAACTTGGACTTAAGTAAAAATCCTGCATAGAACATAAACATCTTTTTCTTTGATACCTCCAACACAAATCTTGGGGTCTTTTTTGCTCCACTTCAGCAGGTCTTAGAATGTGAAGCTGACAGATTGCAAAAGCACAGATCACGAAAGAATCTATTCTTGCCCATTTTCACCCCATCACTTAGAGAGATCAAATGAGCTGGTCAAGAGTTTGGTAAAAGTTTGGCAGCTTAAGCTGTTCTACATTTCCACCACAACCTCATGTGGTATCTTACACATGTGAATATCACTGAAGAAATATACATGATTTTATATATGCATAACAAAGCGGGGGTGGGGGAAGACACATCACCTGAGAATGCCCTTTTCCTCTGAAAACATGGATCCAGGTATAGAAAGAAAATGTTGGAGATGGCTTTGTAATGAATGGAATTGCTTTTTCTTTCTCCTGACGGAAATCACTTGTTTTAATGAGTAGATGAACTGGTACACAACTTTTGATCAAGGCCTTGTGTTTAAAGTGTTCCTACTGTAAATTATAATTTTGGGGACCCAAAGTGGAGCTCATGATAAGAAGTAAAGGGAACTCATTTTTTCAGCAATGAAAACACCTTAATAGTTTGTTGTCTGAATTGGCTGTTCGCTGCATAATCAGAAACTAGGCGAAAACAGGAGAGAATAAGCTGAAATCCATTGGAAAGCTATTGGAAATATGCAAATACGAATTCATGGCTACTGTTGTTGGTCTGCCTTCAAAATGAAGCTTTATTTGAATTAAAAGAATTACCTAACTAAAAACAGAAGTTTAACATCTTAATTATAACACTTAAAGAACTTAGCAAATCTCTTATGAGCAACTTCCCTTTTTAAAGACATCTTTCTGGAATATTCAACCCTACAGTAACTTTCTGCAAAGGTGACCTGCTAGCTGATAGCCAAAATTTGGAATGGAGACAGTCCAGATTCCAAGTCAAAACTGTAGCACAATGACCAACATGGGAACAACTGATTAAAATGAATGGTAGTTACTACACACACGCACACACACGCACGCACACATATACAAGATCTCTTTGTGAATTTCAGACAGCGTCTCACTGGATTTGCAGTTAGTTTAAAAACCAAAAGCCAACATGAAATGTGTGCCTGACAGATACCCCTACAAAATAAACCATGTCAGAAGGAAACAATTAGAAAAGCCCTTTTTTTTTTTTTTCTTTTTTCCCTGCTGAAAACACGTCAGATATATTAGATGACAGCCTAAGCGAAAGGTTTGGAATTGTGGTTACAGGGCCATGAACACTAGTTAAATAACTGCTCAAAGCTTATGTTAAGGCAAATAAAAGCTGATTGCTAGAAAGCAATTATTAACATGTCTCTTGTTTATGTAAAGGAGAAGAGGATCTTTTTCTGGTACAACCAGGCTTTTTGACTGCTGAACACAAGAGTATGGCCCGTCATGTACCTTAATTCCCCAGTCCGTGACTTTGGCCTAACTAAAGTCCATCTGACCCTTGGGCATCCTGCAGGGTGGACTTAAGGGCTGCCCTGCCCTCTCTGCCCCTCCCTCTCCCCACTCACGGAGACAAGATTAGAGGCACAGCATCTGCGGCAAGTTGGCATCTTTGTTCTTCTGTGTTCTGAAAATAAAAATAAGTACCAGTCTTTTCTTTGGGGGTTAAGGAGAACTACACCCATTTCCTGCAGAGGGGCTTTCCTTGAGGAGACAGGGAGGGCCCTCAGTCCTGTGGCAAAGATTCGTGCTGTTTGACCACACACTGGGGCTGTCTTCTGGGTCTGGTCTGCACGTTCAGGGGTGGAGGGGTTGCATCAGAAGCACAGTGAACAGGTGGCTCTTGTCTGGGGAGGTCCAACCATGGTCCGGCTACATGGCCTCAGGGCCTGGGGGTAGTTTGAAAAGTCTGGCGGCTGACACAAGCTTGCTTATGTGCCTCTCCTCTGTGATGCCGGCTTCTTGCAGGCAAGTGTGGGACAGAGCCGGGACTTGACTCAACGTGCTGAGCCCCGCTTCTGTGAGCGCGCGGGTGTACATGGGCAGACCGATGGAGATCAGCCAATCAGAAACAGACGCCACACATCCAGGAGAGAGAGGCTTCCGGCAGATCTCCGTGAGGCCACCACTTGGGATCTGGACCAACAAAGAAGACTGTTATCAAGAATCTACACAGAGCCCCAGTCGCTGAGCCGCCGACGAGGACTCAGCAGCCTCCCCCTGTAGCCCCCATCCCCCCGCCCGCCTCCCCCCGCCACTGACTTCGTCAGGCCGTTTCCACCGAGGAAAAGGAATCGCATCGTATGTCCACTATTGAGAACCTCCACTCTTTCGACCCTTTTCCTGATGCAAGTAAGGGTGATGACCTGCTTCCTCGTGGGACTAAGGATTATATCCAAGTAAGAATTCAACAGAGAAATGGCTGAACGACCTTTACTACTGTCTAAGGGATCACTGATGATTATGATAAAAAGAAACTAGCGAAGGCGTTTAAGAAGAAATTTGCCTGCAATGGTACTTGTAACTGAGCAACCAGATTATGAAGTCAGTCAGCTACAGGGGGACTAGCGCAAGAACATACGCCAGTTCCGTGTAGAGATTGGACTGGCTAAGGACAACCAGCTGAAGGCTCGTGGGTTTTAAGTGCTTGTGGCCCATTGAAGCTTAAGGGAGGATTTCCTTGCAATGAGAAGAAAATTTCCCTCCGTCCCTTGTCACAAGTTTAAAACCTCACAGCTTGTATAATGTTACCATTTGGGGTCCACTTTTAACTTGGACTAGTGTAACTCCTTCATGCAATAAACTGAAAAGAGCCAAAAAGAAATTTTCTTTACGCCCAAGAAGACAGCAAGCTTTCCCTGAGGGACTGTGATCAGAGAGTGAGAACTGTGATCAGAGAGTGAGAATTTTGTGGGAGGTCAGAGACTCGGAGGAAACTTCTGACTTGACTTCTTAAGGCTGAGACACATTTTGAAGGATGTGTACGAGTCCCTGAGGGGTTCAAACAGCTAACACACTGGTGTGAACTGAAAGGTAGGAGGTTCAAGTCCCTCAAGAATTGCTTCAAGCCTAGTGACCTACTTTAAAAAAAAAAAAAAAATCAGCCATGAATGGAAAACAGGTGTAAATTGCTACAAGTTGATGAATGTGACCTATACTCATGGAGGTAGTAGCTCAAAATACCAACTGAGAGGGAAGGAGTCTTCACATCAAGGATCAATCCTACCTCCTCTGTATATACGGTAGATAGAGACGGGAGACTTAGGCATTGGCTACCTAAAATGAGGGGGTGATAAAGGCATGAAGTGACTAGCTTACAAGTATTCAAGAGGGAGTTTAGTTTCAGAGTGTGCAGGGGAAGATAGAATCCCCACTGGTAGTTTTCATATTGTCTAGATGGGTCTGATGAAAGGTGATAGGGATAGGATTATGATTCAAGAGTGAGTAATTGTCATCATGACTAATTGTGATTGTCACAACAGTAAAGGTAGAAGCTTTATAACAAAAACGGGGGAGCAGTTAATCTTGCAGTCAGGAACAGAGGACTCTAGGACCATCAAGGGAGAAGAGCACAGTGGAATGTGGGGCCCTATCCAGAGAAGCAGAGACACCAGAGATGGAGGCAGAGATGAAGACATGGAGAGAGGAAGCAGCTGAGGACTCTGGACTCATGGAAAGAAAAAGGCTGTGTGCTGGCAGCCAGGAGGCAGGCTTGCAGAATGTGCCCTTTGGCTGTTTAAATTATTATATATTCCTGTGTGTTTTTGTGTATATTCAAAAAAACAAAACAAAAAAACCCCAGAGGGAGTGGAAGTAAATATTGTTGAATGATGATGCATGGAGGGGACTGTAATCATTGCAATGAAACAAAATACGATAGGATGAGTGTAAAACCAATGTCCTCCCATGTAAACTATCACTCAAATCACAATAAAAACTTTTTCAAAAAGGTAAAAAAAAACCTCTCTGGAGCAGCTCTATTCACACACATGGGGCTGCCATGAGTTGGCATTGACTTGAGGCCAACTATTTGTTTTGCTCTTTTTTGGTTTAGGTTCTAGATGGTATTTGGAATTATATAAAAAATGGCAATTATGTGTTGTTCAAATCTCCAAAACTTAACATTTATCTCACTCTGTTGCAGTGTACAAGGAGTGCTGGAAGTGTAGTGGTTATGGACTTGGCTTCTAGCTGAAAGGTCAGCAATTCAAATCTACCAGCTGCTTCACAAGAAAAAGACTCCCGTAGAGATGTACTACACCCTTGATAAAGTCGCTTCGAGTCAGACTAACTTGACGGCACACCACCACCACCACCACCATGGTAATGTACAATGAGAGACCCCTGTGGAATAGTGTGGAAAGAAAGGTATTCAATGTTGTTGATGTTAAGTGCCGTCAAGTCAGTTGTGACTCATAGCCACCTTATATAGGGTATATATATATATATATATATATATAGGGTTTCCGAGGAGTGGCTGGTGGGTTGAACAGCCAATATTTCAGTTCAAACCAAACTTGTGGTCCAGAGCTGTCTGACAGCACCACACCTATTCCCACAATGCCACACCAGGTCTCCAAGAAATTCAATGGCTAGGGTTTTTAACAATGTACATTTTCCACTATATCTTCAACCTGCATTATTTTTGTTGGTAAGTGCCATCAAGTCGGTTCCAACTGATAGCAACCCTGTTTGTAGGATTTCCGAAGAGCAGCTGCAAGGTATGAACTGCTGATCCTGTGGTTTGCAGTCCAGTGCTTATTCACATGCCAAACCATTAACAACCAGAAAATTAAATATTTAGTTACTATTAGAAAGATTTACTAACCAATAATGTAAGTGTTGACTAAGTTCTGGTGTGATGCTGCAGGATAATGCACTGGACCACAAGGTCAGTTTGAGCTGTAAGGCCAATGGTTCAAACCCATTAGCCACTGCTCAGAACCCCTATACAGGGTTGCTATGAGTCGGAACTGATTCAAGGGCACTTACCAACAACACCACCAAGGCAGGGAAATGGGCATTTATACCCTACCACTTGAAATATTCACCAGTTTGCCATATTGTGGTGGCTTGTGTGTTGTTATGATGCTGGAAGCTATTCTAGGGTCCCCCATGGGGGGCAGTTTCAGCAGAGGTTCCAGATCAAGACAGACTAAGAAGAAAGGCCTGATGTTCTACTTTCAAAACATAGTCAGTGCACACTCGATTTATCCCAAAGGATACTGCCTGGTGGAGTGTAGAAAGATACACCCCGAGGATGGGAGGCACCAAGATTCACAGTGGCTGCAACACATACTCAAACATGCCACTGAGCGTGAAGACAGAGCAGGAATGGACAATGTTTCATTCTGTTGTGACCAGGGCACCATGAGTGGGAACTGACTATATAGTCACTCAATGCTGTTAAGTCTGTACTGACTCATAGCGACTCTATGTGTTACAGAACAAAACACTGCTTGGTCCTGCATCAAACTCACAATCATTACTATGCTTGAGTCCACTGCTACTGATACTGTGTCAATCCATCTCATTGGGGGTCTCCCTCTTTCTGCTGACCCTCCACTTTATCTTGAAGAAGCATGATACCCTTCTCCAGGGGCTGGTACCTCCTGATAATATGTCCAAAGTATGAGAGACAAAGTCTGGCCATCTTGGCTTCTAAGGAGCATTCTGGTTGTACTTCTTCCCACAGAAGATTTATCTGTTCTTCTCCAACACCATAACTCAAATGCATCAATTTTTATACAGTCTTCCTGACTCATTGTCCTACTTTCACATGCATATGAAGCTATTGAAAATACTATGGCTTGGGTCAGGCACAACTTAGCCCTCGAACTGACATCTTTGCTCTTCAGCACTTAAAAGAGGTCTTGTGCAGCTGATTTACCTAATGCAATACGCTGTTTGATTTCATAACTGATGCTTCCATGAGTGCTGATGATTGATCTGAGCTAAATGAAATCTTTGAAAACTTCAAACTTTTCTCTATTTATATGGATGTCAGTTATTGGTCCAGTGGTAAGGAATTTTGTTTTCTTCACATTGAGGTGCAACCTAAACTGAAGTCTGTGGTCTTTGATCTTCGTCACTAAGTATTTGAAGTTCTCTTTATTTTCAGCAAGTAAATTTGCATCATCTGCTTATCGTAGGTTGTTATGTCTTTTCCAATCCTGATACCACATTCTTCTTCATATAATCCAACTTGGATTATTTGCTCAGTATACCGACTGAATAAGTATGGTGAAAGAATACAACCCTGTTGCACACATTTCCTAATTTTGAAGCATTTGGTGTTCTCTTGTTCCATTAGAGTAACTGCTTCTTTGTCTTTGTACAGGTTCCTCATAAACACAAGTAAGTATTCTGGGATACTTGTTCTCTGCAATGTTATCCATAGCTTGTCATGATCCACACAGTCGAAAGTCTCTGCATAGTCAATAAAAAAAAACAAAGGTAAACATCATTCGGATATTCTCCACTTTCAGCTAAGATCCATCTTGATGCCAGCAATGATATCTCTCGTTCCATGTCTTCGTCTGCATCAGGATTGAACCTGTGAGAGTGCATTCAATATTAATGACATTGTCCAATGACTTCTGCATTTAGCTGGGTCACCTCTCTTTGAAATAGGCATACATATGGATCTCTTCCAATTAGTTGGTCAGGTAGCCTCTTCCAAATTTTTTTTGGCATAGATGAGTGAGTGTCTCCAGTGCTGTATCAGTTTGTTCAAAGATTTCAATTTGTCTTCCATCAATTCCTGGCACTTTGTTCTTTGCCAATGCCTTCAGTGCACCATAGACTTTTAGATGACAAGAGGCAATGGCAGAGGCAACAGCAGAGGTGGTGGCATGGAGAGACAGAACAGCTTTGGGATTGAGACCTATGGACTGAGTAAAGCTGAGTGCCTCTGGGCAGAAGAATGGTTTGAAGAACGTGCCCTTAGGGTATGCACAGACTGCCTAAAAGAACTTTGAAACACTTGCTCAAGCGGGGCAGAGACCAAGGGACCACATGGCTGAGAAGCTAAAAACAAGAGAGAGGCGTACCTGCAGTATGGCAGACAAGAGGCATTCCTGACTGGAGAAGTACTGCGTCCTGAGTTGGTTCTGATCCTGAACTGTCCCCTGTTCACTTCCCTAATAAACCCCATAATCACGTATGCTACCTCATGAAATGTTTGAACATCGACCATTTCTTTTTGGTATGGTGACTCTGTGTAGTCTTCCATCTTCTTTTGATGCTTTCTGCATCATTCAGTATTTTGCTCAAAGAATCCTTCAGAACTTCAAATCGAGCCTTGGATTTTTAATTCAGTTCCTTCAGTTTGAGAAATGCTGAATGTGTTCTTCCCTTCTGGTTTTCTAACTCCAAGTCTTTGCACATTTCATCATAATATTTGACTTTATCTTCTTGAGTTACCTTAATTTTTTATGCAGCTCTTTTACCTCCTCATTTCTTCCATCTGCTTCAGCATCTCTATTCTGGAGAGCAAGTTTCAGAGTCTCTTTTAACATCCATTTTGGACTTTTTCTTTCTTGTCTTCTCAACGATGTTTTGCTTTCTTCCTGTGTGATGGTCTTGATGTCATCCCACAACTCTTCTGTCTGTCAGTCATTAGTGTCTAATGCATCAAAGCTGTTCTTGAGATTCAGTTAGCGTATGTTACAGGTCATATTTTGGTTCTCATGGACTTCTTTTAATTTTCTTCAAGTTTCAGCCTGAACTTACGTATGAGCAATTGATGATCTATTCCACGTTTGCCCCCGGCCTTGTTTTGACTGATGATATGGAGTTTTTCTACTGTCTCTTTCCACAGATGTAGTTGATTTGATTTCTGTGTATTCCATCAGTAAGGTCCATGCATATAGTCATCTACATGCTGTTTAAAAAAGGTATTTGTAATGATCAAGTCATTGGTCTTGCAAAATTCTATCATACGATCTCCAGCATCATTTCTATTGCCAGGCCATATTTTCTAACTATGAATCCTTCTTCTTTTTGTTTCCAACCTTTACATTCCAATTGCCAGTAATTATCAATACATTTTGGTTGCATTTTTGATCAATTCAGTCTGAAGAAGTTGGTAGAATTCTTCAGTTTCATTGTCGCTGGATTTTTTGGTTGGTGTATAAATTTGCGTAACAGTTGTTACTAACTGGTCCTTCTTTATTGACGTATTGATATTATCCTATCACAGACAGCGTTGTCCTTCAAGACAGATCTTGAAATGTTCTTCTTGATGATGAATGCGATGCCATTCCTTTTCAATTGGTCATTCCCGGAATAATAAATCATGTGGTCATCAGATTCAAAATGGCCAATACCAGTCCATTTCAGCTCACTGATGCCTATAATATCCATGTTTATGCATGTCATTTCATTTTTGACTACTTACAATTTTCCTAGATTCATACGTTCCATGTTCTGATTATTAATGGATGTTTACGGCTGTTTGTCTTCATTTTGAGTTGTGCCCTATCAGCAAATAAAGGTCCCAAAGTCTTTACTCCATTTGTGTCATGAAGGTAAACTCCACTTTGAGGAGGCAGCTCTTCCCAGTCGTATTTTGAGTACCTTCCAAGCTGGGGGACTCATTTTTCTGCACTATATCTGACAACATTCTGGTGTTCTTCATCATGTTTCAGTAGTCAATATTCTGGTGTTATCTGACAGTGTTCCACTTTTACTCATATGGTTTTCTGTGACCAAACATTCGGAAGGAGTCCGTCACTCGCTCTACCTAGTCTGTTTCAGTCTGAAAGCTCAGCTGAAATCTGTCCACCATGAGTCACCCTGCTGGTATTTAAAGGACCAGTGGCACAGCTATCAGAAACACACCAACAGACAAGTCACCGCAGTACAACAAACTGACAGACAAGTGGTAGAGTAGTTCAACAGTAAACTCCAACCTGAAATGCAAAGTGCTGTACCTTTCAGAAAGGTAGCTGACTCACAAGAACGTTGTTGTTAACATTTGTCAAGTTGGTTTTGACTCCTAGTGACCCTATATAGGATTTCCGGGGTTTTAGTGATCATTGATTGTATCACTAATGATCTTTCTCCCTCGGAGCAGCTGCAAGGCTCAAACCAGGGATCTTGTGGTTCAAAGTCCAGTGCTTATTGCATGGACCCATAGCGCTCCCAGGTACAAAAATCCTTAAAATGTTACACAGTCTCGATGAAACCAAGTCCCTTCAAGGATTACATCCCCAGAAATTAGTTTCACAAATTTGTATTATTTGTGACCACATCACTGCACACTAATAAAGTGGGAAACAATCTAAGCATCCAACCTAGGAGGAGACTGGCTAACTGGACAGTATACCCATATGCTAGAAGGCTTTGCATTCTTTAAAATGAATGTGTGAGCATTCTTTTACAGTATCAGTTAGATTCACGATCTGATCACTGGAGAGGATCAGCTTTCAAAGCAACATGTTTACTACAGCATGTCTTCACAGAAGAAAGGACAGATGCAAAGACAAAGAGGTTTTAATTGTGCTGGGATTTTAAGGGTAATTTTTCTCTTCCAGAATTGTATTTTTAAAAAACTGGTAGGTTGAACACTGAAACTCTTGCCCTGAGATCATCTTTAAACCTTAAACCAAAAAAAAAATGTTCCCTGAAGTCTTCTCCAAACCAAACAACAGTTTAGTTTAGCTAGTAAAAAGTGTTGGCCTTGAGCACTAGGCTGTTTTAAGAACTACCTATATAGGTGTGGCGCTGTGGGTTAATGCGCCAGACTGCAAAGCCATTTGAACTGCAAGGTCGGTGGTTCAAGCTCACCAGCTGCTTCTCGGAAACCCTATCCAGGGTCGCTATGGGTTGGAACCAACTCGACAGCACTTCACATATAGGATCAAAACATACAGGATCAGAAGGAGCTCTGGTAGCATATTACAAGTCGGGCTGCTAACCTCAAGGTCAGCAGTTCGAAACTACCAGCTGTTCCACAGGAGAGATATGAGGCTTTCCATGTCTGTAAAGCTTTATAGCCTCACTATGAGTCGGAACCAACTCCATGGCACATAACCACCACCACCATATAGGATCAAATTGACAACAGCTACTCAAATGATTAGATGGCACTCACATGGGCAGTGAGTATGTTGATGGGGACACCAACTCAGAAAAGGAGGGTGAGAAGGGCTACACAACTCAAAATCATCAACTGGAATCGATGTATGTTTTGCTGTATATGTTATCAGTGGTAACAACAAAATAACTAAATTTTTAAAAAGAAAAAATTAGGCTGATCATGTATTATTTACTCCCTGCCCTCCATCCCATAATCTGTCTTCTGTCTAGAGCTAGACTGAATCCCTGGCGAGGCAGTAATTCTTAGCCTGTGATCCTTAAAGTAGCATAACTAGATGTACTTCAGAAAGCTGTTTTGGGGAAAATATAAACAGTGGGTTGCTCACCGCCATACGGTGCTGCTTCCGGAGTAGTTTCACGCGGATCTGGTCCATGTTGGTGGCGATGTCCCTCTCGGACTGACCCAAGTCCTCTGCATACCTCTGTATCAGGGCTTCTGGAATGCCACAGCGGCCATGCTGCCAGGGAAGAGCAGAAATGTGGCATCAGTGGTGCAAGAATGTTATCCCTTCTCCACAAAACACCAAACATAAGGTGGTGGTGGTGTGCCATGGAGTCAGTTCTGACTCACAGTGACCCTGCATAGGGTTTATGAGCCTATAAATCTTTACAGGAACAGAAAGCCTTATCTTTCTCCTGTGGAATGGCTGGTAATTTTGAACTTCTGAGGTTACCAGCCTGACTCATAACTACTATGCTACCAGAGCTCCTTAAGCATAAGGTAGGCTAAGGCATTTAGTTACTGGAACATTGACCTCCAAGTTTTTATTTGCAATTACTAAATTGTCTTGATAGTCAAAATGGGTGTTCTAAAAGAAATACTTTTATATCTTTGACTCCAAGTACTAGAAAAATGTTCTGAAACATAGACAAGGCAAAACAGAATCATTCTAGATTTTCTGGACCTATGCCCTCAACCTCACTCTAGCTGATAATTGTTGACAATATGGTTCCTCTGGTTTTATTGAAGGCAGTTGATTAAATTGCAGGAGATAGGACAATATTTCTACTCTACAGACATTCTGCTTTTAGATTTCATCAGCTGAAAGATAAGGAGTCCCTGGGTGACAGAAATACTTAACTACAAACCAGAAAGTTAGTGGTTCAAATCCACTCCGAGGCACCACAACAGACTGGACTAGCAATCTGCCTTAGAAAGGTCACAGCCTTGAAAAGCCCTGGGCCAGACTCATGGTGGGGTCACCCTGAGTCAGAAATGACCTGACGACAACCGGTTTCCTTGTTTGGGTTATTAAGAAAAGTGTTCACACCCCTAGACCAGTGTTGAGACTAGAATTCTACTTAACTTTCCACTCACTCACTATCCAGGAGAAGGAAGAAGCAGGAGGAGGGAGGATGGGGAAGGAGGGGAGAGGAAGTGGGGAGGGTGGAGGGTGGGGGAGGGGGGAGGAAGGAGGAAGGAGAGAAGGTGGAGGAGGGGAGAGGAAGGAAAGGGGAGGAGGGGAGAGGTGGAGAAGGAGGGGGGAGGAAGTGGAGAAGGTGGAGGAGGGGGTGGAAGGAGGAAGAAGGGGAAGGAGAGGAGGAGGAGGAGGAAGAGGAAGAGGAAGAAGAAAGGCAGACATTCATGATTGTCAGATTGCTATAGCGTCTCCTAAGACTGTATCATAGCAAGACATGTACTTCCAAGAGCAAGGTAAAGCGACAGCTCCTCTCATTTATTTATGTCACAGTTATTTTGGTATTGCTAGATCAACTTCGCCCCCTCTCCAAATGCAAAACATGATTAAATTTTGTTTGTTAAGTGCCGTCGAGTCGGTTCCGACCCATAGCAACCCTGTACAGGGTTTCCGAGGGTGTAAATCCTTATGGGAGTAGAAAGCCTCATCTTTCTCCCACGGAGCGGCTGGTAGTTTCGAACCACTGACCTTAAGGTTCGCAGCCCGATTCGTAACCACTACGCTACCAGAGCTCCTTATGTATATAGACAAAAATACTTTTGGTAAGAGAAGGGTATTTTCTATAATCATACTTTTTCCCTGGTGCCCCTATAGTAGAAATGTTATCCCTGAATAGTGTTCTACAATATTCAAAGTGTGTTCACGTCGGTATCATTGGCTCCCGATCAGAGCTCTCTGATGCAGTTAGCAGGTTGTTATTAATTGCCATTAAGCACCCTCAAGTTGGTTTTGACTCATAGCGACCCTGCATAAGGTTTCTGAAGAGCAGCTGGTGGGTTTGAACTGCCAACCTTGTGTTTCACAGATGGGGATATGAGGCGGGAAAAGGAAGATGGCCCCAAATCCCCTTGGTGAGTCAGTTTATGAAAACTGGAACTCAGTTTTCTCCTGTGCACTGAACCATGCCTTTCATTCTCTTGGCAAAGTAGAAAACCAATTCTGAATCACGGCGACCCCACGTGTTACAGAGTGGAACTGCTCCACAGAGTTTTCATGGCTGTGACTGATTGGAAACCCATCACCCAGCCTTTCTTCTGAGGAACCTCTAGGTGAGTTTGAACCACCAACATTTCTGTTAGAAGTTGAACACTTCACTGGTTTGCACCACACAGGGACTCTGCATAGTGTGAACTCCCCCAACACCAAACCCACTGACGCTCAGCACTCATAGCGACGCTATAGCAGACGTACAAGGCCAAACGCAGGAACACACACCACGTTGGCTGTGCATTTACTGTGCAAACTCTGGTTCCCTTATCAACGAGCGGTGGAGTGCTCATCCAGCCTGCCTTAGGAAGCCAAGGCCTGTAGGCTTGGGGCTAGGGCCTCTGATACCTTATCAGAGTACGGCTCCTCGGTGAGGTCGATGCCTTCTGCTTGCAGCTTGTCTTCAGTCAGCATTTCCAGGTCGACAACTCGGGCACAGGACACCTTCCTGGTCAATGTCAAGCCCAGCCTCACGCCATGCTCCTGGAGGCTCGTGCTCTCTGGGAGCTCCGAGAGCCAGGGGGGCGGTCTCAGGCTTGGGGGGCTGCCAGGTTCCTCTCCTGAGGGAGGTCTAGGAGCCTGTGTGGCGTGGCAGTCAGTGGGGCTGGTGGGGCTGCTCTTTTTAACTGGTAGACACGGTGCCTCAGGGCTGGGGAGCGTCCCCCCAAGGCCACCAGGAATGAAGTGAAGTCCATTAGCCAGACGTTCTCTGCTCTTTTTGGCAGGAACAGGGGGAGGCTGGGAAGGATTTTTTGGCTGTGTTCTGGCCTCGGGCACTCTCTGCTCAGCATCTACCCCTTCTTTGGTGCCTGGGGGAGGATTTGTTCCTTCAAAATCGTGTCCTTTTCTCTGACCCTCAAGAGGTGTCCTCATTAAACCAGGTTTAGCTCCTGGGGGTTGAGTGCCAGAGTTTTGGGGCAAACACTGAGGGAGTGACCTGTTCCATGAAGAGACGGCTACTGAGCCCTCCACCTTCTTCATCGCAATTTTCTGAGGTTCCGAAAGTCTCTTGCTTTGGGGCAGTAGCAACACACTGTCGACAGCAGAGTCTCGTTGGTGAGTTTGAGCCCCAGGGGTGGAGGCGCTTGGCTTCTGGGGCACTTCTGGTACAGTCTGAGTGGACGGCACTGTTACCACACTAGGCACATCTTTGTCAGCATCAGGCCCTCCAGGAAGGTCATCCAGGGAATGGGATCGGGGCCAGGTTTCCACAGGCTGGGGACCCTCGAGGGTCTCGCAGCTCCGGCAGATGGAAATGGGGAGGCTTCTTCGGTTTTCAGTCAAGCCAGGTGTGCCGGGCTGGTCACAGCTGGCGGAAGGGTGAGGGGTGAGCCCGCTGCCCAGCCGGCTTCCCTCTCCCTGCTTCAGTGTGTCCACTGATTTCGTTAAAGGCAGTGTCGGGTAGCTGCCTGGCTGGTTCCTATTGAAAGACTTCAAGTTGGGCTCCGTTGACGACTTGGCAGGTAGGAGTCCAGTTTTCCGAGTCTTGCCTGGGAAACAAGAAAATATTTTACAATCACATCTTAAAGGAGAAGCACTTAAGTTGATGTCTGAAGGTGTGTTAACCTAACTGAAATCGCTGGTTCCTACCTCCCATGCTTGCCTTACACAGTGGATGTGAAATCCCCAATAATGGTACGAGGTGAGGGAGGGTTATCATGGCCCCATCCTTATTTTTAGGAAGGCTTCTTAGTCTCATTAAAGGATGTGTGGAGACGGAAATTAATTGGATTAGATGGACAAGAAATATGCTGTGGCACACAGCAAAATACATGTGGGCTAAGCATCTATTCCTGGCTGTCATCAGTCTGGTGGAGAGGTGGCTGTCTGCACCCCGTCTGGAAGCCACATTGACATGAATTCTGGTCAGACTATGGCTTTCTAAGGTCATTGTTGAAAAGGGGTCAGGTCCTGTAAGTGTTACCGCTGGGACTCATTGGTGACCAATGACCACTCACAGTTGGCCTCCCTTGAAGTGGTTTCTCTCTTAGCAGTGAGTTCCCGTGTGTAAAAGCAAGGACTTCCTAGAAACAACCAGCCAACCTTGGTCTAAACAATGCACATTAGTGAAAATGAACACCTTGCCACTGACAACCTATACAATCATGACACGTTCTAGGTTCCAGGGACGCAGCAGCCTTGGTGGTGGTGGCTGTGTGCCGTGGAGTCGGTTCCGACTCATAGTGACCCTGTACAGGGTTTCCGAGGCTGTAAATCTTCATGGGAACAGAACACCTCATCTTTCTCTCGCGGAACAGCTGGTAGTTTCGAACTGCTGACCTTGCGGTTCGTAGCCTGATTCATAACCACTATGCTACTCAGAGCTCCTTTCTAGGTTCCAGGGAGGTTGTAGCCTTGGTAATGATCAATTACCCATCAGAAGTTTGACTGCAGTAACCAGCAGACATTCTCTGTTGACTTGATAGGACTGCTGGCTGGGGTCGCCGCCATCACTGCTACTGTCAGTTAGCACGCTTTAGGGAAAACTTACAGTCTCTGGGCCTGGTACCATGCTAACTGTTTATTCTTATAGACACACAGACAAACTTTGGTATATTTTTGGTTAATATATTGGCCATGTGCTTTGACACTGAACAGAGACATCTGATGGGGAGATTCCAGACCCAAACAAACAAACATGTGCACTATGGAATCCTCTAACTGTAAACACACTGCCAGTCTGGCTCACAGCAACCCTGTAGGGCCAAGGAGAACTGCTCCACAGGGTTTCGGAGGTTACAGATCTCTACAACAACAGTCTCCTATTTCTCTCACTGCTACGGAGTTGATTCCAATCCACAGGGTTCCCAAGACTATAAATCTTGAAGAGAGCAGGCCACCTTATTTCCATAATGCAGCTGGTGGGTTTGAACCTCCAACCTTGCAGTTAGCAGCCCAACACCTAGCCCACAGCGCCAAGACTCCTTACCCAGAGACTATGTGGTGGTGGTGGTGGTGCCGAGGAGTGGGTTCTGAGTCAAAGCGACCCTCTGTAAGGTTTCTGAGTCAATCTTTACAGGAGCAGAAAGTCTCAGCTCTCCTGTGGAGCACCTGGTAAGTTGGAACTGCTGACCTTGCAGTTAACAGGCAGACTTGTCACTCACTACGCTACCAAGGTTCCTTATCCAATAACTATGGGTGTTAAGTGCTATCGCGTCGGTTCCGTCTCATAGCAACCCTGTATAGGGTTTCCAAGAAGTGCCTGGTGGTTTTGAACCACCGACCTTGCAGTTAGCAGTCCAGTGCCACAGCAGGACACCACATCCAATGACTACGAGGGTGGTGGTGATGGTATGCCGTGAAGTTGGTTCCGAGTTACAGTGACCCTGTATAGGGTTTCCAAGACTGTAAATCTTTACGGGTGCAGAAAGCCTCATCTTTCTCTTGTGGAGTGACAAGTAGATTTGAACTACTGATCTTGCAGTTTGCAGCCCAACTCATACCTACTACACTACCAGAGCGCCTTCCAATGAATATTATTGTTGTGACGTGCTGTTGAGTTAGTGCTGACCCATAGCTACCCTGCATAGAGTTTCTGAGGAGTGCTGGTAGGCCTCTATAAAAAGATAAAAAATTCTAAACCCACATGAGATTTGGAAGGTAGACAATACAGAGCTGGCTCTAATCTTACAGAGCCACTTCCACGTAAGTAAAGGGTTACTTCCCAATCCATTATTTTTGGCAATATTTTGAATTAAATATATTAATTTTCACATCTCATTAAGCAAGGAGAAATCAGAGGGTGGACTGATTTCACTGGAAGGGATGAGAAAGGGTGTGGATGGGAGTGGAAACTTTTGGATAAACATAGAAGACACTTCCTGATAAAATCTCTACAAGGGGTCCTGATGGCATATTGATAAAATACTCAACTGAAAAGTCCGGTTTTCACCAAGGGCTCCACAGGAGAAACATGGATCTGTCTCCATACAGTTTTATAGCCTCAGGAACCCTAAGGAGTGGTTTTACTTTGTCCTGTGGACTGGGGCCTTGTGAGTTGGAACTGACTCTGGGGCAGTGGATTTGTGGTTTACTGTCTCCTAGCTTGAGGTGTGCTCAATATGGCAGTGGGTTTGGTTTGGGTTATCTTTGGGAAGGGAGGGAGGAAAATCCCTGAAAAATGTCCCCTCCTACAATGAGTATCCCCACCAAAGCTATGGCTCGGGGTCAGGAATGAAGAGATGTCAGGAGATGACCCCTGCCAACATTACCGTGTTCCAAGTTCTCGCTGCTCTCGTAGCATCCCGAGTCCCGGGGGGAGCATCCGCTCAGGCCCTGGCCGTCAACAAGCAGCTTCTCCTGCGATCCTGACTGATCGCTGTTACCTAGAGAAGGGGAACAAGCAGCATGGTTATAGGCAGCGAAAAGCAGAGGTTCAAGGTCAACCAGATCCTGCTTTTTGAAGTCTTGGGCTTTTGAAAGAGATGAGATTATTGTATATGACCAAAATGAACCATTGAGGCTATAATATTTTTATATTGCTGTTATTTCAAATGAAGTATGACACGAAGATGGATTCAGAGAAAGACTAAGTATGTGGTTGGAATACGCCAATGCCCTGTCAGTCCCCCACAGAAGGTCTCAGGGCTAATCTGAGGGAAGGGACGCTCCGTGCACACTGCCATCACCCTGTCTTTTAGAAGCAATGATAGCAACATCGAGTGGAAGGAACCAGTTAAGAGATGCATTCTCACAGGAGTGATTAGGCCATACTGCTTTCAAAGATAAGGAAAACTTGTGTCTCAGTTACTGACATTACCAGCTTTCCCAATTTGGGAATAAATCAAATTTCAATTTTTATTATCACTAATGAGCAGTCTCAGCCCTTGCAGAGATGGGCTGACTCTTGTATTATACAGGAGGCAGGTTAGTAAGATGAGGCACAGTTTCCTGAACCAAAGCGGACCCAGTGGCTTCAAAAGTTTGAGTTTTCTTTTTTGCCAGGCTACATTCTCTCTTTGCTCTGGGTCAGTGGTTCTACTTTGAGTGAACAAATGGCGGGACAGGAAAAGTCCACAATACTTCCTCTCATTTGAATCCAGGAATCCTAGTGATACAGCAGTAAAGCAATTGAGTGCTAATTGAAAGGCTGATAGTTCAAATCCACTCCATGGCTTTACAGGAGAAAGACCTGGTGGTTTGCTTCCTTAAATATTATTGTTGTTGTTAAGTTCCACCAAGTAGGTTCTGACTCAGAGAGATTCTGTATAGGGTTTCCAAGGACCTTGTGGTTCGAACTGACCTTTCAGTGCAGTGCATTATCCTGCAGCACCACACCAGCCAAGAAAACCCTACAGCACAGTTCTACTCTACAATACGGGGCCACTGTGAGTTGGACTGGTTCATAGCCATCACCAAAAACAACAATGGGTCTTGCAAACGGTTAAGTACTTGGCTGTTGATAAGGTTAAAGATTTGAGTTCACCCAGAGGCACCTTAGTAGGAAAGCCTGGTGATGTTCCAAACTCAGCTTTTAAAAATCCTACAGAGCACATTCTACTCTGATACACACAGGGTCACCAAGAAATGGAACTGAGTCAACGCAAACTCATTTTGTTTTTGTTTTAACTGGAAACTCTGAAGATAGATGATGGAAAGTTGTGCATCCTCATTCTAAGTCTCCCTTTTAATGAGAAGTGTCCGATGTTCCCATTGTGTGCAAGTCGGCTCGGAGTAAGTCTCGTGGAAGGCAGTGTGGTTCTTCTGTGTCCCACGAGTGTCACTCCACAGGAACGGACAGGCTTTATAAGGAGGGTATGTGCAGGTTTGCACAGGGCAGGGAGGCTGCGCACAGAACATCTCTGAATGATCATGCAGAGTAAGTGCTCGGTGACAGAAAACAGAAACCAAGAAGACATTTTTCTACATAAAATCACCAGCTGCATAATGAAGGGCTTTAGTTTCCTTTCTCTTCAACCTCTCCTCCTCCCTACCACACCAACAACAAAGAAAACAAGAAATGAGAAATCTGATGCCTTTCAGAGGCCATCAAAATAAAACTGGGAAGATAGAGGGCTCCATTCCATATACTGCCCTCTGCTCCTATTGTCCACTAGCCACTTCCTGCTTGTATTTCTCACATGGAAAACATTTTATAACACGTTATGGCAAAATAAGTCCTTCAGTTCGAAGCCCAAATTAAGAAGTGCTATTTTTAAAAAATACATATTAATGGAAACCTAACTAGTTAGAAGCACAAGAGAAACACACACACACACACACTCACAATGGAACATTCTACAGTGATGCCCTTACTGTGTGGAAGACTGTGGATTTGAGGTGGCCTTTGTTCTAGCCTACCATGTTATTTAAGAAAATGAGACTTATAAAATGAGGGCTTTGAGCTATCAGTTACATGCCAGGAAGAGGAATTGATATAGTTTGTCTCTCACGACGACTGTTCAGTGCATCACTGTGGCCAGAGCAGCTTCCAAAGTGCTGACCCACAGGAACAGAACAGAATGGTCCCCTGCATGGAAACTCATACTGTGTCTGTGGCTTTGGAAGATCCCAGCCTCGTAAGACACAGCAAGATACCTGAAGTAATTATGAGAGGGACGATGGAGGAACGTCCTGGAAACCAAAGTTAATAGAATCCTGAGGCATATGTCAAGAGGCTAGAGTCATTATCTTCCGAAATGAGTCACTCAGCAGCTGCTAAGGAGGAACATAACTAGCAACGTCTGGAAAAGTCCTTAAAACTAAAAACCAGTGCTTTTAAAAAAGTTAAGTTGCCCTGACTTAATGGGAAACATGAGAGACAGTTGCCTCTTATGTGTTCTATAGATTCACATCCATACCCTCTCCCCCATATGTATTAGCACTGATGCCCAGGTTGTTGTTGTTGTTGTTGTTGTTAAGTGCCTTTGAGTCGGTTCCAACCCATAGTGACCTGTATAGGGTGTCTGAGGAGCAGCTGGCGAGTTTGAACCACCGACCTTGTGGTTCAACCCAACTTTGTAGTCTAGCGCATTAACCCACAGAGCCACATCAGGACTCCAAGGTGATGCCCAGGTACAAAGGTAAAAAAAAGAAGAGACCCTCTGGAACAATGGGAATTCATACAGTCAAGTAAGAGAGGAGGTGGGTGGTGGGGCTGAAACCCCATTTGGACATGACCTGAATTTTGAGCCTGAGGGAGCGAACACACACACACACCCAAGGCAGAAGGTCCCAAACACTGATGAAATCTTCAACCGTCAAGAGGGTGGTAGTGTCCATGCTGTGACAAAGCTGACCCTTGCAAACTGCATGTTGGAAACGAGACTCAAAAAGACAAATATTGTATGGCCCTGGTGCGGTGCTGTAGGATAAGTACTGGACTGCTAACTGCAAGGTAGGCAGTTCAAAGCCACCAGCCACTCGCTTCTTGGAAGCGCTATACAGGATTGTTATGAGTCAGAGCTGACTTGAGGACACTTAACAACAGCAACAGGTAAGTGCACAAAGACTTGGGTTTACTCGTGGTGACAAGGGGCAGGTGGGAATGAGAAGTGGGAGTCAGCGCTTGAGGGGTCCTGAGTTTCTGTGAAGGGTGATGGGAAAATTGGGGGCTGGATAGTGGTATGGTTGCACAATCTTAGGGACGTAATTCATGTCACTACTGTAGACGCAAAACTGGCTGAGATAGAAAATGTCTTGTTATATATATTTTTAACACAATAAGATGTTAGAATAAAAAGGCGGGTGTGGTTTTCTGTGGACCAATGATCTTGGGAAGGAAGGAGGTGGGATTCATGAAGAGGGGTTTTCCATTGTGCTACAACATTTTTCTTTAAAATAAGACTAAGGATTGAAGCAAAGATGGCAAAACGTTGACTTTAGTTGGATTTAGGAAGCGGAAACGTTGTTTTATGCTTCTCTGTATTTGTATGCAACTTTGAAATTCTTATAAAAATTGTTGTTGTTGTTAGGTGCCGTCAAGGCAATTCCAACTCATAGTGACCCAACGCACGGCTGAAGAGGTCTGCCCAGTCCCGCAGCATCTTCAAAATTGTTAAGGTTCCTTCCACTGTTGCTGCCACTTTGTCACTCCATCTCAATGGGGGGTCTTCCTCTTGTTTTTGCTGACCCTCCACTTTACCAAGCATGATGATCTTCTCCAGGGACTGGTCCCTCCTGATGACATGTCCAAAGTACAAGAGATAAGGTCTCACCATCCTGGCATCCAAGGAGCATTTTGGCTGTAATTCTTCCAAAATAAACTTGTTTGTTCTTCTGACAGTTCCTGGTACTTTTAATATTCTTTGCCAGCACCATAATTTAAACACATCAATTCTTCTAGGTCTTCCTAATTCACTGTCCAACTTTCACATGCACATGAGGCTATTAAGAACACCATGGTTTGGGTCAGGTACACCTTAGTCCTCAAAATGACATCTTTGCTCTGGAACACTTAAAGAGGTCTTGAGCAGCAGACTCGCCTACTGTAATACGTCGTTTGATTTCTTGACTGCTACTCCCATGCGTGCTCCTTGTGGATCCAAGAAAAATGAAGTCTTTTGACACCTTCAATCTCTTCTCCATTTATCATGATGTAATTTATTGGTCCACTTGTAAGTATTAGTTTTTTAAGAAGGACCTTCCTTTGGCAGAGCTCAGCTAAAATAGTGTGGGTTTGGACTCAGTGTGAGGTTGAGCTCTCTGGCACTTACCAGCATCTTTTCCACATGCACTTCTGTGTGGAGGCTGACAGTCCCATTCTCCAGTGACAGCAAGAGGCTGTGAAGCCATGCTGGTGTTGGTGCGCTTGTGCTCTTGGTAGGAAACTGGGCTGAAACCTTCCAAGATCACTGCATGTCTTCATGGGTCTTGACAGAGATCTCTGCATCGCTCTAGTATCTAAATACTATTTTGAAGGAAACGTATCATGTTTTCAATCCGTTTGCATATCCTCAGAGGGAGAACTTAAACATGATGAATGGAACTGCACTGAATATGTAATCTTATGACCTTAGGCTAAGTCTGAAACCAGCATCATAGCACTATTCAGTGCTCCGGAACCCCTGAAGCACTCTGTGTTATCAGGAAAGTTCTGATGGTGCCGCAGAGATTCAGAATGGGATTCAGGAAGAGGCAGAGCAAGGGTAGGGAGCAGACATGGGTTTTGAGGCAGGTAGGCAGGGCATACACTATGCTCAGTACAGGTCCTGCCTGTGCTCAGTATTTGCACTGCTAACCACAAGGTGAATGGTTCAAACCCACCAGCTGCTCCTTGGAAACCTTATATAGGGTTGCTATGAGTCAGAGTCCGGGTGTGAGCTGCCAGGTTGGCGGTTTAAACTCACCAGGTGCTTCTCAGAAACCCTATACAGGGTCGCTATGAGTCAAGACTGACTCGACGGCACTTAACAACAACGTGGTTCAGAAGAGATCATTTAATATTAATTTGAATCCACCAGCTGCTCTTCAAGAGAACGATGAGGCGTTCTGTTGCCTTAAAGCATTTATAGCCTAGGAAACCCCATATGAGGTCGCTATGAGTCGGAATGGACTCCACAGCATGCAGGAACAACAGCAGCAGGTGTGGTGCTGACTCTTTACAAACAACCTGGCTCTAGAGTTCCAGGGTATCTCTTGGGAATTCAAATGCCACAGAGGCCTGGTGATAAAGTGATACTGATGATGAATAACAATTCCCTCCAACTCGCTCATTCAAGTCCCTCCCTGATCTCTAATCAGACATCTAATTGGTGTTGTTTCTCTAGGTGACTGGTTAGTTCATTTAGAAGGAACTCTAGTAAACAGCCGTGAATTCAGCTGTACTGAGATACTTGCTTCTCTTGGGCTTGGTACACTCAGCCATGTGTACGTTTTTCTCTCACCATTAACCATGGCTTCAGTGTGTCTTTTAGCAATAGAGAGGTGATTACACACTGATATCCCTGATGCTGAGCAGTTGGAAGAAAACGTATTTGAATTCAATAACTGGAAAGGATGCTCCCTTTCTGACACAAAATTTAGGAATATTTCGGATGTGAATGAAGAATAAAAAGCCAGATAAGCCTGCGTTAATGTAGTAAAGGGTCCTGTCTTCAAATGGGCAGCATCAATGAACAGTGAAATAAGCTGTCCTACAGGTTGGGAGCCATAGGTCAGCCTGGAACCCTGCGCCATTCAAACTTACTTCGGACAGACAATGTCTTCTTGTTCTGTTTAGCCAAACTATTCAATCTGAAAAAACTCTCATTCTATAGGAAGTAATTAACTCTGGGCTGGGCCAGACACGTGCCATCTGTCACACTTTCATGCCCAGGCGTTAAAGTGACCTGCTGACAGCTCTAGGTCTCTACCGTATTTCTTTTAAAAGTAGAAATTCAATTATCTCAAGCATTTGGTCCAGCATTGGCCTCAAACAACATCAACACATGACAGGAAAGTTTCTGTTTTGTTTTGTGGGGTTTTGGGGGGCTCCTGCATTCACAGGAATGTCTGCACTGGGAATGGACATGTCTTTGTGCTGCTTTAAATCCTACAAAAATTCACCTTGGTTTTGACTCCCAGTGCATGCCTACCCAGCCCTAAGCATGTTGTGCTGGTAGAGGACAGACCTGCCTCCGAACTACAAATGTGGCTCATGTACCAGGTGCTGTGGGGGAGGCACTTACTGTCATATTCCTGTAACAGCTCCACAGCTGTCAACAGAACAGCTCTGTGCTCCGGATCCCTGATATTCAACTCATCCAAGTCTTCCTCCTCCAGAAGCTTAAAGGTGTCCAGATCTTCATATCCATTGAACAGAAACGTCGGCATGTGTTCCTAAGGCGGAGAGATGCCAAAAGTGAGTTTGCAGGCCCAGCCCCGTGACACGTGATTGACAATGAGCGAGTCTCAACCCCTAAACTCATTATGCTAAAATAGGGATTAGTAAGTATCATTAGAATAGAAGCTCCACATTCTACTCCTACAGCTTCGGTTGAGGAGATGGCCATGGCATGCCATGACAGATTCCACCGGTCTCCTAGTAATTGTACCCTTGATGTGAGCTGAATGCTTTGATGCCACACATCACAGTGTAGAGGAGATCCTCCATAATTTAAAGAGCTATTAAACTCCAACTCAGAGAGTACTGTGGGGTCCTCAGGAACAAGAGGGTTCTACGAGGAGGAAACCAACTCCACCCTGCTGGATGCTGGGAGTAATGGTGGGCGAGAGGGGTGGAGGTTGGCTGCTGGCTGTCCAGCTGGCAGTGAGCAGGGCCCAGACGTTTTTGTCCATAGTTCTTCCTGGTTGCAGCTCTATGCTCAGCCTCTTTAAAGGCTGCTCTTTGAACCACTGGCATATTTTGACCCGGGGCTTATGCCAATGCAACTCAGAGGTCAAGGCCAGCATGAGAACCCTGGTAACGACTTCTGCTTTTTTATTAATAGCAAAGAAGCCACTTTGATGATGAAGGGGTACCTGGCCCAAGCCACAGTCTTCTCAACTGTCTGCTATGCTTGTGAATGTTGGCGAGCGGAAAGGAAGACTGGAAAGCATGGATGGGTTTGAACTGTGGTGTTGATGAAGAATACTGAGCACTGCATTTTCATACATGATATATGGTTCATGGGTTGTGCATATCACACAACATCCCACCCCCACCCGGGTTACTGCCCTAAGTGCATTGAGGGTGTTGTATGTGTCTGCATGCTGGTGAGACTTTGACTCTGTCACGGTGGAAAACACCCATTGCTAGAAAAAGACATCATGTTTGGTCAAATAAAGGGCCAACAAAACCAAGGGAACCCCTCAGTGAGATGGAATGACCCAATTGCATAGCAACCATATGGCAATGGGGCAGGACCAGGTAGCATCCTGTTCTGCTGAACACAGGTCACCAGGCGTCAGAGCTGACTTGGCGGCAACTAACTATAACAGAAAAAATTTATGCAAAATACTGAATTATTTATCATACTAATGGACAACCCTTGTTAAATGACATAGATCAACCCCGACCCTACCCTAAAACTATGCTTCCCTGCTTGTTTTAAGGGGAGAATGCGTGTGAATAATGAGTGAGGATCCTAAAAAGTAACTGACTTTCAAGTTAATCCGATCGAGGAGATCTTCCACAGACTTGGGCTGGGGTGGTCTTCCTTTTCTCCTCCTCCTGGTGGGGCGCTTGGGCTTCTCTTCTTCTTCATTTAGCACATCCACGTAGATGAACTTGAATGTGCCCACTTTGTTGTTCAGCAGGCCCATCCAAGTACCCATGGGTGGTTTGCTGATTATATCGATGATATCTCCTTTCTGGGACCCAAGGAACAAAAATCACTCTGTTAGGTTTCTTTCTAAGCATAAATCAAGCAGATATGTTAAATTCTCACTCTGAAGACCAGAGCCAGATGTGAGACATCTTTCTGAGCTGTTAACATAAACGAAGACTTGGGAGCTTAGATAAGGGCCAGAGTGGAAGACTTCTAAAGGTACTGGATTCCATGCGGGCCCTAGGTCTTGTCCCTCTACCCTCTGGCATCGGAGGATGAGGTGGGCCTGGGATATGCCTAGACTGGCCCTCTAAATACCTCGCTACTATCGAGTGAATTCCAACTTCATGGAAGAAAAATTTCTACCAATGAAAAGCCAGCGGTGAGCCACCCTGTTTTTTGCTTCCTGCATTTGTGAAGGCCCAATGATCACCTAAGAGAAGGCAGGAATGCTTCATCGGATGAAGAAAACACAGCACCAGGGTGGGGCCAGGGAGTGGGGCAGAGACCACAGGAATTTTAGCTAGAAGTTCCCGTCAGAGGATGGGGTCAGGTGGGGATGAGGTGCCATCCCTAACACTGGCTGGCCGCTGGTTAACTGTTTTGCCATAGAGAACGTCAGTTTATCAAGGGGGTCGATAATATCCAGTATGTACCACACTATCCTGGGCTAATGAAAAATCATTTGAACTGCAAGGTCGGCGGTTCAAGCTCACCAGCTGCTCCTAGGAAACCCTCTACAGGGTCGCTATAGGTTGGAATCAACTCGATGGCACTTAACAACAACCACCACCATACTATCCCAGCACTCACAGTAAGGAAAGGAGAACAAATAGAGCCCAAGTGTCCAGGTGTCTGTCATTGTTCTGGGGTCAGGGAGAGACACGTCGTTAGGCACCAAACTGTGTCCTCCCACAATGTGCTGGCCCCTGACCCCTCTACCTGTGGTGTCCCCAAAAGGTAATCATTTCTGAGGTAACAGAGATGAGACACAGGAGCAAGCACAAAGGCAGAAAAGGTGCCCCCTGCTGACCTTGGAGGCAGATGAATCTACAAGCTTTGGAATTCCAAAGACTGTTGGCTACTAGGAGCCCTGGTGTGGTGCTGTAGGATATATGCTGGACTGCAAGGTCAGTTTGAACCACAAGGTTGTTGGTTCAAACTCTCCAGTTGCTTCTCAGAAACCCTGTACAGGGTCGCCATTAGTTGAAACCAACTCATATTTCTGAAAAAATCAGCCTTGGCAAACCCTACGAAGCACAGTTCTACTGTGACACATAGGAGTTGCCATGAGTTTGTTTTTTCTCTTCCTCCATAACACTTAACAACAACAGGAGCCCTGGTACAGTAGTAGGTTAAGAGGTGGGCTGCTAGCTGCTGGTCAGCAGTTTGCATGTATCCAGCCACTCCACAAGAGAAAGATGAGGCTTTCTGCTCCTGGAAAGATTTACAGCCACAACAAGGATGTGGAATGTCCAGCCAACGGGCTGTGTAAGACCCTGCCAAGGCAATCACAGACATCACATTATAGCAGGCTAATTTGTAAGTTAATAATTTTGCATGGCCTGGGAATGATGTGATAAATATCCAAATGGCCCTTGGCAGAAAAAAGGTTCCCCACCCCAGCTGCACAGGGTTGTTGTGAGTCGGAACTGACTCAGTGACGTGCAGTTGTTGTTGTTAAGTGCCGTGGGGTTGGTTCAGACTCATAGTGACCCTGTACAGGGTTTCCGAGGCTGTAAATCTTTACGGGAGCAGAAAGCCTCATCTTTCTCCTGCGGAACAGTAGTCGTTCCGAACTGCTGACCTTGAGGTTGGCAGCCCGACTCATAACCACTACGCTACCAGAGCTCCTCCAATGACATGCAGTAGAAGCAGCTAAACATAGAATCCTGGTGGCGTGGTGGTGAAGCACTCGGCTGCGAACCAAAAGGTTGGTGGTTGGAACCTACCAGCTGCTGCATGGGAGAAGACTTGACGATCTTCTCCCACAAGGACTGACAGCCTGGGAAACCCTCTGGGGAAGGTGTACTGTTTGTCTGTCCTATAGGATAGCTGTGAGTCTGAACTGACATCAGAAGGTAAATTAGAGCCATGTCCAGAACTGGCCGTCTAGGCTCCCCACTGTGAGAAGATGACTTTTGGTTCTATAGAGCTGCCCGCTCGTGGTATTACTTCACGACAGCCCCAGGAGATGAGGCCACACACCTTGAGCTTGAGCGAGTCTGTGTCATAGGGGCTGGGGGTGAAGTCAGTATGCACTCTGGCACGTCCACAGAAGGGACCCCGGTAGGGTGGCTCCTCGTCGTCACCATCCTCCGACTTCACACTTTCCCTGTTGCTGGTGGAGGAGTCGGTAGTACTTACTGTTTGGCCACCTGTGTGGAAAATTGGAAGAAACACGGGTAAGCACAGATTTCCCACCACACAGAACTGAAAGGTACCAAAGGGAACACAGATTAGGACCGTAGCATATGAAGAAGGAAGCTGGGACCACACCCCCGAAGTGTCAGGATTGGATGGAGCAGGGGCCCCCAGAGCTCTAGCTGTGCTCCCTCATCAAACCCCCAGCAGGAAAGAGAACTCACAGCATGGTCTCTTACAGCATGGGAAGCCAGGGGACACACTCAACCCTGCCCTTAACCCACAACCTCTAATGTGTGAGGCATGCTATTATTACTCCACTGTTCAGATGAACAAACAGACCCAGAGGTCAAGTCACTTGCCCAAGGCCAAGAGCTTGAAGTGGTCAAGTTAAACCCTAGTCTCCTCCCCCATGCCAAATGGCCTACACCACCACTGGCCCTGGAGTGGGTGGGTTGGATTTGTTACTTGTGACATATATAACTCCCTCCCTTCTCCCTGGAGTCCCTGAGTAGTATGAATGCTTAATGCACTTGGCTTCTAACAGAAACGTTAGAGGTTCAAGTCCACTCAGAGATACCATGGAAGACAGGTCTGGTGAACTACTTCTGAAAAAAATCAGTCACTGCAAACCCTATAAAGCACAGTTCTACTGGGACACACAAGAGTTGCCGTGAGTTTGTTTTTTCTCTTCCCCCATTAAGCCTCACCTTCACAGTGTTGGCCACCTTCATAGGATCCTTCCCCTAAGACGCTTTACCTGTCTTCCCCATTCAAGTTAAATCCCTCCCCTTTGTATCACCGCTGCACTTGGGCTACTTAACGAGCCCTGCTAAGTGCAGACATTTTACAGCTCTGCGTCACTAACAGCTCTTAGTCCTACAGGGAGGAACGCGTCTTTAACTTTGAATCACCTGATCCTGGCGTTCAATAAAAGTCAGATTCAGATTCAGACTCCCAAGAAAACTCTCCACAGTCACAAACCCAACTCACTCATTGAACTCTGTCCGCTGAGGGAGCTCCGCAGGCTTTCCACGGAGCCTCCAGCCTTGAGCTTGGGTTTGTCCATGTGCTCAGAGTCGGGCTGCGAAGACGGCGGGGAGCCAGGCATCCCATCAAGGCCAGAGTCCTGAAATGGTGTGGACAAAATGAAGTTCCATCAGGTGGCCATGCGTCACTGTAATTCTCAGCAATCTGTTGCTGTCACTGTTATTGCCATGAAAACAATACAGCCTCAACTCACGATGTCCTCGTGTCTAACAGAACGGAACGGTGCCTGGTACAAGAAACACCGTTTTCAGGACTGCTGGTGTGTTTGTGTCTATGGTTGTGACGTCTTTAGCATTTAGTCCTTGACTGAATCAATCTGCACTCACATTTGGTTGTATACCCAGTATCTGCTTCCTTCTAATCCATAGCCTTATTTAAGTTAAACTTGTGGCCCAGGTAACTATTGTGTTAAGCACTTAAAAGATGATTTTTCATTCTCAAGTAGGTGCTCTTGAAGACTCCAACAAAGAAACCTCTCTCTACCTCTTCAACAAAACATTACTTTAAAGCCTTAGAGAGTCAGTATATTCAACAGTCCAGTAGCAAGATAGGACTTGAATATTAGTGGACAGGGAGACACTTATATACCCAAAGGAAAAAAAGTAAAGTATATTCGTTGGTAAGGGGGGGAAAAATTGGCCAGATTCTTATGGTCTTTTTAAACAAATTGTTGAAATTGGCTAAAGAAATATTAACGTAGGAGCCAGATTTATGAAGAAGTCACAATTTTTCAGCCTATAGTAAAATCTCCGTATACAATACTCTATATTGTGCATCTTTTACTTCCTGTGTGTGTCATGAGTAAAAAGCTGTAACGTGAGAAAAGATCGAATGCTGAGGGCAGTAACTGAGCAGTTCTTCAGTCTTCTTGGTTGGACATGTATTCTCAGTTCAGCAGCTTCAGGTCTATGTAGATAAGCTCAGCATACTTAATTGATTCATGACGCTACATAGACAGACATTACACTTCAGAAAGTCTGCAGTGAGTAGTGTTTACTTGTCAAACTAGAGAATTCTCTGAGCATGTTACATACCTGCGAGAGCACAAAATCATCTAAACAAAGCCTGTTACCTGCATGCTGCCTAACATCATAAGGACTTTGACAACGCTCTTACAGATGTTGCACATATTTAATGACAAATAGCCCTGGCCGCTTCTGATCCAACATACACTTACCCAACACAAGCAAGCCACCTCAGACACACTCACACTACATAAAAGTTGTCATGAATGGTAAGTACATGAAACTACAAAGCATGACCTCTTGGCTACATTTCCCTTCTACCTTGCAGAATCAGAATGGAAGGGACTTCTCCAGTCCAAATCTGCTTGTCATGCTTCTGATTAAAAGGTACACATTCTGAAAGAAACATTACATAATGCATGTCTGATATCAAATATCCTCAAACACTTTGAATTAATTTAATGTATTCATCATATATTTACTAATTATTTATAAGAAACAGGTACTGTTCCAGGTGCTGGGGATATAGCAGAGAAGTCAGAAGTTCCTACCACCATGGTTACACTAAAAGTTAAAAACAAAAACAACAACAACCTCACTACACGGATCTTCTCCTTCCACAAAGCATTAGTGATAAATTATTCCTATTTTTTAATGGATGTGAAATGATTACTATAAAAAATAACAAAATCAATCAGAAGAGAAGATGGCTATATGGTAGTAAAATGTAGGGAAATATTCAAAATGACATTAAAATTCAAAGATCGTGATCCATCAAGCAGCAAAGCCATAGGGGCGTGGGTTGATACGGCTTCTGGGTGGCTGTTTCCAGTGCTTTAACTGAGTGGTGTTCCTTATCAGCATGAAGGTACTTCACAAAGCTTGAACAGTTGGCTTCTATGCTGGGCAGAAACACTGACTCCAAGTCATTGCTCTGACTCCAAGAGACACAGCAAATGAGGAGAAAGAACACCCAGAAGGCTGCCCAGACTTACTACACAGAGTAAAAAACTCAGCCTTTCCAACTTCACGCTGTTGACATGTTGGGCTGGATAATTCATTGTTTGGGGGGCTGTCCTGGTCAGACCAGAATGTTTAGGAGAATCCTTGGTCTCTATCCACTCAATGCCAGTGTCCTGCCTTCTCCTGCCAGTCATGATTATCAGAAATAGCTCCAGATATTGTCTCAGGATAGGGGGCAAAATCACCCTCACTGAGAACCCCTCTTGTAAATGGAGTTGTCTTGGCTTTGTGAGCTGGTGGTTCAGGGATTCTGACCCAGGAAAGCCGAGGTGCTTAGCTTATGTAGCCAGCAGAGGGCAGCAGTTCAGCAGACATTGGTTGTCCCCGCTGCGTTTATTTGGTGGATGAAATGCCATTATCGCCAGCTCATACACAGATACTTTCAGAAACTCCAGAAAGAATATTTGAAAGGCACTTTAGGAGAGTGGTCTAAGAATTTAGTGGTCAAAATTGCCTCATGCTTAGCTCTCCATGCAATGAAGACAAAAACCAGTCGAGATTCTAGGGATGAAATGACCGAACTAGGGGAAAATATCAATCCCATGATACCTAACAGATAGGACCAGTTGGTGAAGCAGCCCCTGGAAACATGATTACTCTCCGAGTTCTGTACACAGGAAGCACTTTCTGAGTTTGCCTCTCAGTTACGACTCAGTTGTTACTTCCCTGACTTGCTCTGTGGTTCAGGACTAAGTTTGTGAAAACAAGAGTGCTTTCTTAGGTTTCAGTCTGGTGAGATTCACTTGTAGCAGGAATTTTATTAGGAAAATAAAGGCCTTCTTTTGTGTTCAAATGAACACACTGTACAAAGAAAAGTATAATTATTTTACATACTGTCTCTGTACACAGAAGGTAGGGCTGGCATTTTATATCCCAAACACAGCATTTGGGTGACTGTAAGTGTGCAATAAATGTTGATTACACAGAATGTCTGTCTACATTAACTAGCACTGTTGATAGGTAGTTGCTTACCTGCTCGGAGACAGAGCTGCTATACTTTTTAGACATTCTCTTCCTCATTGTCTCTTTCACTGACTTCACCTTTTTTCCAAGAGAAATTCGGGATGCAGTAGGTGATTTGATCACTTCTTTGTATACAAAATCTCCTTCTTTACTCTGTAAAACAAAATGTGATGGAAGCACACTTAAACACAGTAACTGGTTCACAGTGGGCAACCAGCAATAACACACTTGGCTACTAATTATTACTGAAAGGCTGGCATTTGAGTCCCCCTAAGGGAAGTCCTGGTTTGGCGCTGTGGGTTAATGTGCCGGACTGCAAAGCCATTTAAACTGCAAGGTTGGCAGTTCAAGCTCACCATCTGCTCCTTGGAAACCCTATACAGGGTTGCTATGGGTCGGAACCAACTCTACGGCACTTCTCAACAGGGGAGTTCTAAGGAGCTCTGGTAGTGTAGCGGTTATGAGTCAGGTTGGTAACCTCAGTTTGAAACTACCAGCCATTGCGCAGGAGGAAGATGAGGCTTTCTGCTCCCCAAAAGATTTACAGCCTCAGAAGCCCTATGCAGGGTCGCTATGAATTGGAACTGACTCCATGGTATATAACCAACCAAAAGTGGAGTCCAGGTGTGGTGCTGTGGGCTAATGCACTGGTCTGCAATGTTGGTGTGAACCACAAGGTTGGCAGTTCAAGCTCACCAGCTGCTCCTTGGGAACCCTATACCGGGTCGCTAATGGGTCGGAAAGCACTTAACAACAAGTAGCACCTTAGGATAAGCACTAGACCTCAAGGTCAGTTTGGACCATGAGGTTGGTGGTTTAAACTCACCTCGGAAACCCGACACAGGGTCGCTATGGGTCTGAACTGGCTCGGCGGCACTTAACAACAGAGACAGCTCAGAAGTAAAGTGATCTACTTCTGGGAAATCAGCCACTGAAAATCCTGTGGAGCTCAGTTCTACACTGATCCACATGGAGTTGCCATGATGCGGAGTCAACTCACCGGCAACTGGGGAGTCCAGGAAATGAAACCCAGAAGCCGGTTTCATGATTCAAAACTCCCTCTCCAAACAACGCTGGCCTCCGCCAGTTTCCTTAGAGTTCTCTGTGAACATGCAGGGCTATATTACTTATCTGCTGGGTAACAAGTTAAAACCCGCAGAGCCCTAATGAGCTCTTTGTCCACTTGTTTAGAGTGGGATGTGAGTCAGTAATTTTATTCAACTAGAGTATCTTCTTCTTGGAATCCATTTTTTCCACCATCTTAAAAATCCAAGGGATAACGGGCAAGTTAACACAACTTGACCAAGGAAAATGAAGACACAGAGGAATACACCAATATAGGACTCTGGTGGGTGTATACAACTTTGCAACACCAGTAATAATATGCAAAAAACATGGGAGCTGTTACGTAGATGGGCTTGGGAAGACATTTCCATGGGATAATTCCATAATCTTTTAATTCCATTTTTTCCCACTAACTTTCTGAAGCCCCCACGTATAAGTATGTCTGTGGGCATGTGTACATACATGTTTGTATGTGCTGCATATTGTTGCTGTTAAGTGCCATCGAGTTGGTTCCATGTCATAGCGACCCTGTAAAGGGTTTCTGAGGAGCTGCTGTTCAGTTTGAACTGCAGACCTTTTGGTTAGCAGTCCAGTGCTAACCCTACAGGCACCACACCAGTCCTACATATATATTCATATATGCATAAAGTCCTACGGTGGTCCTCCAGAGAAGGGGGCTGGGGGGGGGAATTCAGACTTTCATTTTTTAAAGATTCACTACATAAAATTACTGCTTTATGAATCAATAGAATGTTATTGCCAAATGAAATAGTTTTATTCTTCCACGAAATTCCCAAATACTTCCTATATCACACAGAAGGCCTTTTGGCTGACACAAGATGTTAACAGAAATAAAGCACAAACTCCCAATTTCCCAGTTGTATGACAAAATGCATACGGGATGTCAAACTCATCTAAATCCTTGGAGTCTGAGAGAGGAAACGTTATGGTATAGACCCTGTGCTCTGCAACAGTGGTCTGCTGCTGGGTTGAGATCCAGAAGCTTCCAAGGTGATTCCATGACACACCAGGTCAGACTGACCCGGACTTAACATCTGCCTTGAATGCCTTCTGCTTAGCCCGTATTCAGACTGGCTTTTAGAACTGGCAACATATTCTTGGTATCCAAATCCCAGGGCTCAGCCCCTTGCCTTACCCTCATATAGTACTTAAATGTACTTGGACTGAAAAAATGAAACAAAACAAGATCCTGAAACTCACAGACATTGGGTCGCTTCTGACTCAGAGCGACCCTGAATAGCGTTTCTGAGACTGCAAGTCTTTCCGGGAGCAGAAAGCTTCACCTTATTCCTGTGGAGCTGCTGGTGAGCCTGAACTACCACCCTTGCAGTTAGAAGCTCAGTGCTTATCCTATAGCACCACCTGGGCTCCTTGTACTTGCACAAGTATAAAGAAAAAACATGTGTGTACAAATTATGAGGTTTGTAGGTGCCAATGCACCTGAATTTGGTACTTGACAAAAACTGGTTACAGAGGCATTAAAGAAACCGGGCTACCACAAGGAGAGATGGCGGCCATCATTCGTTTTAAGTGGAACAGTGAGGAGTCTTTGGACGGATGAAATAAGACTCTTTCCACCGGTGATTTAGGATCACTGAGGGAAAACTTCTTGTTGGGTGCCAATGAGTAAATTTCCACTCATATTGGCCTCATATGACAAAGTAGAATGAATGCCCCATAGGGTTTCCTTGGCTGTAATCTTCACAGGAGCAGGTAACTAGGTCTCCCCCCCCGCCTCCCCCCAGAGCTACTGGGTGGGTTTGAATCACCAGACTTTGGGTTACCAGCCAAGCACACAGCCAACCCATGACCAGAGCTCCTGATCCAGTATCCACTGTCAAAGAGGCTTTTGTCAACCACATCGCTCGAATCCAACACCTTCTTCTGACATGCGCTCTGATTGCTTGTCTACTCACCATGGGGTCAGAGTGATTACTGCTGATGTGAAGAGAACGGTTTGTCAGGTCAAATCCGCCAAAGCTGCAGGTTCTCTGTGGAAAGGAGCAGGCAGGTGGGAAGAATCCAGTTAAACTAAGTCAGCCAGCAGGGCATGGACCCCACACACTTCCCATGTAGTGGATACCACGGAATCACAAATGTGGGTGGCAAGATGAATGTGGGACAAGAAATGATGAGGAAAAAAAAAAAAACCATATATATATATATATAGTCAAATTATAAAGAAACTTCACTCAGCCTTCCCTTCCATAGGCCACTGGAACTCTGCCTACACCCTGGGTCTAGAATCTTCTTAACATGCAAAACCCAACTGGTTACATTAAAAAACAAAACAAAACTCAAAAAAATGGGAAAAACTCCCCACATATTTCATTCTGTAAAATTCCCAGTCTCTTAGCAACACCATTTCCCCTTCAAACTTTCCTTCATGCCAGTTGCATGCAGTCATGATGGTGAGGGGCTATTTACTGGGGGTACTGAGCTGCCCAGTGGTCTTAGAGCATAGCCTGCAAGCCTACAGTGATAAGAGCCATGGGTTTTCATTTCCGAGGCTACTGACAGAACGAGCTTATGTTTTGTTTAGTTTTCAGTCTCTGAGAAAGGAAGAGAAGGTTATGTTTATAGCAGTCCAATCAGGCCAAGAGGATTACTCATTCATTGCTTCCCCATCTTAGCCAAATATGTGGATAACTTTCCCATCCAGCTGCCCAACCTAATTAATGATGACCCTTTTTCTCATGGTGTAGAAAATGAAAACACTACATTATTCCCAAGAAAACAGTCCATTCAGTGACTGTCTTTGACCACACTCTTTCATTTCAGTAGGAAAAAAATGGTGATGTTTTATGTTTGCCTTCTTCGCTGGTTTCAGACTTTATGGAGTGGCTTAAATTTCAGTGACTCTGTTTTTCCATAATTCAGCTCGAATTTCCTATTGTTTTATTAGTAACAGCTATTGGACGACTAAGACAAATATACAAACAAATAAAAATACAAACAGAAACCCAAAGCATAATGCTTTCTTTGGTGCAACTGTTTATCTTTTTAAGCAATTTGGACTAAAAGTTGAATAGAAGATTTGGGCTCCAATATTTTGGATTACATGTTTCTCAAAGAACTGTTGCTATAGCCATTAAATGAGAGAAATGAACAGATATCAGTACCTGAAGAGAAGTTATTTAAAACAAATATATTCTTTAGATAAATAATAAGGAGCTGAATTGATCAAGTAAAAGCATCTATTTTAGAAGGAAAATGTCTGGGCTTTGGAATTACGCAATGTGAATCCACGTCCACACGGGCCCCTCACTTCCTATGTGTCTATGGGCTTTGAGCCTTGAGTGCTTCACCAGTAAAACAATACCTAACTCGTGATTGTGAGACACTCCATGAATTCTGGCTTCTTCCATTTCTTTCCATCAAGACCACACTGAGGACAGAGTAGCTCACTCCAATAAGTGTTGATGGTTAGTCAACATTAGATATCAGGTAATGAAGGGTTAGAACCCCTGTACTTTACATTCTGGGAGCTTTGCTTATAAAATCTGCACATGTCAGGAAGGGGCCAAAAAGGGGAAGGTGGCGAAAGCCAAATGTGAAAACCAAGATTTAGGTTGTTACGAAACTCTATTCCTTCTTATTAAAGTCATTGTTGCTGCTTTAAATCATCTACTGCAGCCATAGGTTTTAATGGGCTATGACTCTAATTGTATAATAAATATCAATGGGCAGACGGGTTTCCTTTAGAGTCCATTTAGTTGGATCTATAAGGTTCATGGTGGTTGAATAGTGGAACTCCTGCCTTCCAAGCAGGAGACCCTGACTGATTCCCTGCCAGTGGCCTGGCATTGTTACCACCAGTAGAGACTCATGTGTTGCTAGAATGCTGCTTTCAGCAGACCGTCCAGACAAAGGTGGGTTGGCAGCCTACTTCTGAAAAATCACCCAGTATAAAACCCTGTGGATCCCAATGGTCTAACCCACAACTTGCCATGGCGATAGAGTGGGACTGGACAGAATTCTGTTCTGTTGTGCATGGGGCTGCTATGAGTCAGAAGTGGATTCAATGGTAGCGACCACCAATTAACAATACATTTTAATTAAGTTTCCTTTAACTGCCAAGTAATTTTATGACCACTTTTCAAGACTAATCTTCAATACAAAGAACCTTCAAAGTAGGAAACTGGAACTAAAAGCTACTGGAATTTTCCCCTCAACTTCTTGAAGACCCCTCATACTAGCTTTCCCTCTCCAGCTTATACATTTCCTGTTTTTTCACTAAGACAGTGACTTGATTTTAGCTCCATTCTGTGATGCTCGTTTCCCAGGTACAATATGGCGCCCAGATGTCTCATCACGTTACAGCTTCCTACCTTCCTGTTCTCCTCTCAAGTATCCCTGAAACACTGGAGCCCAGCACATTACTTCTCATGCAGATGAAATAGCTGACAAGGAATCTGTGTGGTAACTCTGACTGCTATGATAAAAAGCTCACTGAAATCTTCATATGCCTGCTGGAATCTGGAATGCATTCATTTTTATCAGTAGAAGAATGGCAATGAACTCTTTGGTGGTATTGCCAACTTCTTCTGCAATACCAAGTTGTCCTCTGAGCCACACTCCTCCAACAAAGTAAATAGGTTACACCAAGAACATTCAAAGAAAAAGAAACCAGCAGTCTTTAACTCTGCTGCTCTACGTAAATGAAGTCTCCGTGAGGTGTTTTCAGTCCCATTCTCTCCTGTCCAGATAACACTAAACATTTGAGACAGATGCTTGTGGATGAGGAGAGCTACTCAATGGGGATGGGCATGCAGTTGAAAACATGTTTTAGGTGAGTTGATTTTTTTTTTTTTTAATGGACAAACTTCCAAAAAAATGTCATGCATGTCTATTCCTCCAAACAAAAATTGAATGATCAAAGGAAAAAGCAAGACAAGTGACCACTTCCAGTGCACACAAGGCATTGTCATTTCCCAGAGGTTTCATCAAGCAAAAATGGCATGGTCAGGAGGCAGAAAGATCAAGGCTGAAGATGAAAGGAGACAGCACTGTTTGGGATGAAATGAAGAATGGAGTAAATGCCAAGAAGATTGGAAAAAGACCTCTAAATTAAACTAAGCAAAGAAAGGGATCTTAGTCTCTTAACTAAAAACAATTAACAAGTGGTTTTTGTATTATTAAAACACTTACATTCTGTTCATTGTTCTGGATAATTAGAAAATTAAAAGTGTTTTACTGACTGTCCAACTGTGCTTCCAAGAAAAGGGATGTGGAAATTTCTAACTTAGCAGTGAACACATATTTCAGCACAAGCACAGAGTAACACTGAGCATAGATGCATTAAACTTGTTGTTAAGGGCCGTGGAGTCAGTTCAGACTCAGAGCAACTCTCCATAGGCTTTCCAAGGAGCGGTTGGTGGGTCTGAACTGCCAACCTTGTGGTTAGCAGTCCAGGTGTGATGTTGGTCCTAAGCTTAGAGTACCTTAAAAAGCATTCATCCTTAGGTTGATAACTGGGATAGAGATTTTGTAGTTCTACCTTTATAAGGGGAAAACAAAAACAAAAACAAAAAATACCAACAAATGCCCATCCTCAATGTTACTGACCCACAATGTTAACTAACACAAATTTCGAAAAGTAACTTCTAGTGAGAAATTCTGTTCAAGCTAGAGTACCAACCTTGCACTAAATATCACCAGGGCTATATGAACAGCTCAAAGTGCTCAATTTGGAAAAAATTCTCAGTGTTATATGATTTGAACTCACAGGGGTGGATCATCCAATTAACAAAAGAGGTAGGTCTGTTCTAATGAGTCAGGTCAAAAGGGGAGCAGTAGAACATGCCCAAAGGTTAAAAATAATAATACAATAAATCAATTATACAAATAAGAAAACCCACAACTACACTGAGACTGTTAGCCACAAGATAGGAAGAAGATCTGAGTCAGAAAAGACCAGAAGCGGAATGAGTAAGAAAGAGAATTCTATGATTATAAAACAAAAACAAAGCAAAACTATTACCCGAGAGAGAAAGAATTAGAAGTAAGGTTTTGCTGCAGACTAATAGTATTAAAAAGTGTTGCAAGATTTATATGAACGTGGAAAGATGGAAAATAAGATCTAAGAAGAAAGCTAACGCATGTGAAAATATCTGGAAAGACCAGAGTCTAGAAAAGACTTACAATTCGTTCAGAATCGAGATTATTTTAAGAAAGGCACTGAGCAATCAGCCTCCATAGTTCCAAAAACCCAACCGTCAGGGAATTTTAATGGCAATCTGTCTGGAGAAACACATCTCAGATCAAGTCACCTCTGGAAGTTGGACCCGCTCAGTCAGCAGTTCTGAGTGGATTAAGCAGAGTGGCAGGGGGCATAGCCAGAAATCGCCTCCTGCCCCCATAGCCTCCTTGCTGTGTACTGAGAGGTACTGAGTGTGAGGTTCACTCCCCACCCCGTGACATGCCTGGATCCCCTCAGATACAAATGAATACTAATGAACACTAATGTGGAAGAAAGATGGGTGTTTCTGCTTCCGCAAAAGATTTAAAGCCTTGGAAACCCTATACAGGGTCAGTATGAGTTGAAACCGACTCCAGGGCACTTAACAACAGTTGGGCAGGCTAGACATGCGGTGGGTGTCTTCAGGGAGAAAATACAGCTATTCTCAAGTTCAAAATAAGACGCCCCCAAATACATTTTACTGAATAGCTAATCATTCAATATGAAGCCTGAAAACAATTTTACTATTTGAAAGTAAGCACTTTATTTGTTGCTAAGTACAGCAGACTCTGTGGGGCACAGGGAGACATTTCCAAATGCTGATTCTTTTGTATAAAGAAAAAGGCACATGGAATAGGCTTCAGTAAAACAAAAGACCTCTTACTTTAAAAAGCCCTTCCTTTTGAGATTTAACAACTGTCCCCCTCTTTCTCCCAAATAATAAAATAAATGGGCTTAACAATGTTTACAAATCACCAAATCTGTGAATGTGATGATGGCAAACTTTCGGTAAGCTAGTTTCCCTTGTTTTCACTAACTGTGAGAATAAAGCAGGGCTTCTGGGGGCAAACTGTCCTGTTCTGAGTCAGTTTCTACAAGATCAAGTGACGGTGGTGGCTGGGAGTCAAGACAGCCATATCTGAAGGAGGCCAAACGCCACCACCACCCTGGAAACCCTTCTTTGGACCTACAGCAACGTTTCTTTTTAATTTAGAAGATCGAACAACTCCAATGGGCAAGAAGACAAACGGAAAACAAAAGCAGGAGGCCGAGGCTAAATTAAAAGAGGAGTCCAAAAGCGAGGTGATGGTGGAATGGGTGCTAAGTCATGGGTTAGAGAGAGGATGGAGGAAGTCAGGCTCAGCGGAAGAAAAGGCCATATGCTTGACTGCACGTCACAGAAATGACAAGGCTGTCTCCAGGACCATGGGTGGGACTCACAGACTTCTGGTGGATTCTCAAGAGAACCCTTTTGGTACAGCGGTCCACTGTGGCAGCCCACTTCCTCTTTGCCTCCTCCTCCTCCTCCAGCAAGCACCGCCTCAGGTCCTGCTTCTCAGCCTTGCTCAGGGTCCTGTCTGAGGTGGGACGCGCTAGCTGGGTCAAGTTCAGGTGGCTGTACAGACTCCGCTCCACCACGTACGTGATATTGAACTCGCTGACGGCAGTGCGCCTGCGCACCCTCCTGCCGGGGATGCCGCAGCTGCCCCCTGCTCTGCATTTCTGCCGGGTCAGCTGCAGGTCACAGGTGGGACTGTTAACTCCTTTTCTGGAGGGGCGCTGGCAAAGGAAAGTTCTGGAACAGGAATAATTAGTATCCGTTTTCTTCAAGCGGATTTGCTTCCGGACACTCTGAACCTCCTCTAGGGACACCAAGAGGTGGTGCCTCCGCCTGTGGTTGTCATAAAAGCAAACGCCATCCGTACTTACCCCGTGGCTCAGAGACCCCAGACCCTTCTTCATCTCCCCATCCGTGAGGGAACGAGATACTTTCTGGGCTTTTTCTTCTTCTGGATAGGAGAAGAATGTCCCCATCTTCTTAGGGGGCTTAATCAGGCCCCGGCCATCTCCTTTGCTGAAGGTTTTGACTAGCTTCCGGCCAGCTCCCCAGGTATCCAGGCTGCTGGATGAGGGAGAGGTGGTGAGGGAGTCAGAATCATCTTCAGGAGGTTTCTCAGGAGAGCTATCAAAGAAAAATGGCTTCTTGTGGACTCCCGAGTATAGAGCAGATCTTTCATCCAGGACTGGGGGATTCTCAAAGGCGTGTTCTTCCCCACCTGCGAAAGAAGCAGTGCAGAAATGTTCATGACCCCTGCAACTATTGGTGTCTAGTGTCTGCAGCAAAAGAGACCAAAGGAAACCAGAGACACAGAGGGAAAAACCAATCTGCATGAACCTCGGCCTCACCTACCTGAGACCAATAGAACTAGATAGTGCCTGGTTACCATTACCAACTGTTTTGACCAGGAACACAGTAGACCGTCACAGATAAAATGGAGAAAAAATGTAGACCAAAGTTAACATTTCTTTAAAAGGTCATGCTTACTGGATTGGTAGCGACTAGAAACACTCCTGAGACTATGGCTTTAAACTTGGAATTAAAAGCAGTCTGAAGATCACCGTGGAGTCAAAAGACAGAGTGGCTCATAAAATAAATAAAATCATTCATAATATAAAAAATAAATAGCACAGTTTGCTAAACAGAAGTAAACACAGAACCATCACTTCAATTTCTTTGTTAAGTGCCGTTGGATCAATTCCGACTCACAGAGACCCTGGATAGACCTTCCGAGGTGCAGCTGGTGGATTTTAACTGCTGACCTTGTGGTTCGCAGTCCAGTGCTGATCCTACAGCACCAAAGCAGAAGTCTAACACCTCAATGTTGCTGTTGTTAAGTGCCGTGGAGTCGTTTCCGATTCCTAACAACCCTTATAGGGTCTCAGAGGAGCAACCGATAGTTTCAAATTGTTGACCTTGCAAGTCCAGTGCTTATCTTACAGTGCCACAGGACTTCAAATAATATGTTCAGAAATGGCTAAATCAGAATCTAATTTGCTATGTTAATTTTCTCTAAAATCATTTTTCACAAATTGTAGGAGAACTCTGCATTCTCCAACAGATCTTTCTTTACAACCTTCAGCCTGCAGTGGAGAAAACAGCTGGTCTACACAAAAACACAGACATCCCTCTAGTCACCTGTTTGAAATTTTTAAAGTTTGTGCTAGAGCAGATTCCAACTCATGAAACCCCACAGATGACGGACTACAACAGCTCCATGGAGTCTTCTGGGCTGCCTTCTTTTCAAAGAACCCTGGTGATGCAGTGGTTAAGCACTTGGCAACTAACCAGAATGTTGGTGGATCAGACCCACCAGCAGCTCCAGGGGAGAGACATGCAGCAGTTTGCTTCTCTAAAGATTATAGCCCAGGAAACACATTGTTGTTGTTGTTGTTGTTAAGTGCCACCGAGCTGGTTCTGACTCATAGCAACTCTGTATATGGTATCCAAGGAGTGGCTGGTGAGCTTGAACTGCTGACCTTGCAGTGTGTTGAATTAACCCACAGCACCACACCAGGGCTCCATAGGAAACCCTATGCTATTGTTGTTGTTGCTCGTGGTACAATCGAGTTGGTTCTGACTCATAACGACCCTGTATAGGGTTTCCAAGGAGTAGCTGGTAGGTTTGAACTGCCGACCTTGTGGTTTTCAGTTCAGTGCTGATTCTATAGCTCCACACCAGAAGCCCAATAAACCCCACAGGGCAGTTAAATTCTGTTTTACAGGGCCCCTGTGTGTCAGAATTGACTCTAGAGCAATGTGTATAGGTTCAAGCTTTAGGGAGGCAGATGGCCACACCTGTATTGTGCAGAGCCACTGGTTGAGTTTGAAATGCCAACCTTTAGGTTAGCAGCCAATTGCAAACTACTTGTATACCCGGGACCTTTCACCCTCTTCATAAGCCCTATTTCCACTTAAACATGCATACAGAAAAGGAAATAATTAAACTGTGCAGCTGTATGATTCCTCATAAGCTTAGTGTTCAAAGGGTTGGCATGTGTTTTTGTCTTTAAATACCTTTCGTCTACAGTTTTCTTGATCGAGAACTATACATCTCATCAGAACTATTCGAAATGCCCTTTGTAAAATGGAAGCTAGGCATGATCATATTTCATATTTAAAGATTGTTACCCTCCTCTGTATTAAAGTACAATCTTTAGAAACTAGGAGTCAGAAACCTCCCCACTTCTGTTGACTCTAGTTGGCTTTTTATAGTTGGAGTGTGAGGAATGCCAGGTGGCTGACACTGATTTTTTCCCTCATACATATGCCATTCAAATGATTAAATCACAAAGGGAATTGGGGTGTGGGAACACCGTAAAGGGCTGTATCTCACAAAGGCAAATACAGACTGTTAGGGAAGTGGGGAATCCAAGCTAGACATTCCCATTAATTCAAGCCCGGCTGGGAAGCAACCGGGACATCAAACTGCCTGGAGATGCAAGCAGGCCCACCAAGTGTTCCACTGCGCGTCAAGGAGTCCAGCTCCCAAGGCCTTCACTAGTGCCAGGTACTGAGCCAAGCTCTCCAGAGCCCAGTGGAAAGGTTTGGACTTTGGCAGAAAACTGAGTTCTTTTCTGCGTGTGTTATATGAACAGATGTGAGGAAAGAAGTAGGTCAAGCTATGGGTGTAGTGATTCTAGCTGGCTGATGCCTTTTCATCACAAGGAAACTTTTTAGCACTGCAGCTTTACACCAGCTGAACTGTGAAGAGGGGAAAAAATGAAAAGTTCCTTGGAAGAGAAAGAGATGGCACTAAAAATACCCACGGAAACCAGGGTGCCCGGACACAGCTAACTGTGAGGGATGAAGGTAAGGACCGCTCACTTCAGAGAAGGACTATGCCTGGAATGGAAAGAGGTTTTGAAGATCCTAAACAGATCATATTTGTCCACAAAATGGGAAGGACAGTTACACATGCAAAGGAAAAAACCTCTGATTATGCAATACAACCCCAGATACACTCTAAGTTAATGTTGAGGATAAAGGGCGGGGAGCAGAGAGGGGAAGCAAAGGAGCCTGAAGCAGGTCCAGTCAAAAGGTGACCCTCTGGGTTCTCAGAAAGTTAAATACAGAACTACCAATGTTATTGCTAAGTGCTGTTGAGTCGGTTCTGATTCATAGCAACCCTATTAAAGGCTTCCAAGGAGCAGCTGGTGGGTTTGAACCATCAACCTTGTGGTTAGCAGTCCAGTGCTTATCCTACAGTGCCACACCAGGACCCCAGGTGTGTATATATACATACATATATAGATAGATAGATACAGATTAGATATAGATATATAGAGACACACACAAAAACTGAAATTAGGAACTCAAACACATACTTACACACTAATGATCAGTGCAGCAATATTTTAAAAAGTCAAACATGGTCTATCCATAGAGTAGAATATTATTCAGCCATAAAAATGAAGTTCTGACACATGATGCAATATGGATGAATCGTGAAGATTATTACAGGAAGTGAAATAAGTCAGGCATGGAAGAACTCACTGTGTGAGTCCGATGGTGTGGCGCTGTAGGATCAGCACTGGACTGTGAACTACAAGGTCAGCAGTTCAAACCCACCAGCTGCTCCTCGGAAACACTATCTATACAGGGTCGCTTTGAGTCAGAACCAGCTCGAAGGCATACAACAACAACAACAACAATTATTTGAAACATCTCATATAGACAAATTCATGAAACAAAAAGTAGTTTGAGAGGAGACCAGAGACGAGAGAGGGAGCTTCATGGATACAGTTTCTGTTTGCGGTGGTGCCGTTTTAAATGTGGATGGTGGGGAAGGCTGCAAAACATTGTAAGCATACATGATACCACTGAATTTAACACTTTAAAAAGTGGTTGAAATGGAAATTTTTACGTTACATACATTTTACCACAATGAAAAAAACAATTATTTTCAAGTTCTTTATAGTATGTAGCACAAATATACTTGCTGATCAATTGTTCAGGGACCTTTCTGATACATTTAAAAGCAGGGTCTCGGAGTCCTGTTGTGGCGCTGTGGGTTAATGCATCCAACTGCAAAGCTGTTTGAACTACAGGGTTGGTGGTTTAAGCTCACCAGTCGCTCCTTGGAAACTCTATATAGGATCGCTATGGGTCAGAACTGACTCGACGGCACTTAACAACCACAGAGTTCTAACAGGAATTCATCAGATGAGAGACAGTCTGCAAATATCATGAAATTCTCCTCAGGTTACCTAATACGGTATGGAAACTGAGGGTCCTGACATTGTGAAAAACAGCATTTTCTAGATACAGTTCACACCCACTTCTGGAAAGAGGGGATTGTGCCAGGAAGAGAGGCGCCCCCTGGTGGCAAAGGCAGCAAAGCGCTGACTCCTCCAAAAAGCTGCAGGTCTTGGGATATGGAAAGATCTTGATCTGTCTGTGGGGTGAGGGGGAGTCAGGTTGCTGTCCCTGAGAGTTTTAAGGATCTGCCACTCAGCAGTGGTCTGGAACTTTCCTGGACTCCATGTTTAAGGTTGTCATTGGAGATTCCAGCAGTTCTGTGTCTATCTGAGCTGGAGCCAGGTGATTCACTTGACATATGGATGGGGCTCTATCTCATTGTACTTGAAAGTCAGTATCTGGCAAGAAGGGCAGAGGGGGATGCGGCCAGGGTTTCCTACGTGACTTCATGGGTCCGTGACGAAGGCAGGCCTGATGAAGCACTGGCCCTTCTGTGTGCGCCTGGCCTGTGGCCTGGAATCCCACACACCACACAATTCTTTGATCTCGAGCATGGCTGGTCCCATCCTCCTCTGACAGTCCAGCTCTTCTGCACACAGACTACAACCAAGAAACTCTCACTCCATGATCTCTTGGTGTGATCTACTTCTTACAAAGACCTTAATCTATCATAGTCAGATGGTATATGAACACAGGAGGAAGGCAATTTAGACAGAGGCAGGAAGGTAGGTTAGTGCTAAGAACATGGATTTATGTTCTGGATTCCAAGGTTGGCCCTGCAACTCACCAGCGCTGTGGCTTTGGCAATTAGTTCACCATCGGCGCTGTGGTTTCTTCACTGTAAACATGCCCATCTATGGAGTCCTGCTGTAGAATAAGCACTGGATTGCTAAGTATAAGGTTGGTGGTTCAAACCCACCAGCTGTTCCTAGGAAAACCTATGCAGGGTGACTGTGAGTCAGAACTGACTTGACGGCATGTAACAACAACATCTTAGCAAGAAGCTCAGGTGGCTCTGTGACATAGCATTGACAGTTCAAACCCACTAGCCACTCCACAGGAAAAAAAATGGGGCTTTCTGCCCATGTAAAGATGTACAGCCTCAGAAACCCTACACTGGGTCTCTGTGAGTCAGAATTGCCTCGATGGAAGAGAGTTTGAATTTTTTTTTTGATCTTAGCAATAACATGTTGTTAAGTGCTGTTGAGTCAGTTTCCGAGGAGTGGATGGGCTTGAACCACCGACCTTGTGCTTATCCTACAGAGACACAGCAGGTCTCCATAGATAGGCATTATTACAGGTGAAGAAACAGGAGCACAGAAGATGAAGGAATTGCCAAGGTCACAGAGCGGGTAGTGGAGTCCCTCGCTGGTTGTGATACATAAGGCTTTGTATCAACGTCACTGGGCCAGGATTCCAGTGGTTACCCCCATAGTGAGAGCTAGTACTGTGTAGTTAACTCTATGATGATTGGTTACGAACATCCATAGTTAACTCTATGATGACTGGCTATGAACAGCCAATCAACTGAAAGGATGTTTCTTTGGGGGTGTGACCTGCTTCCAATATAATGGGCACTCAGGCAAAGCTTGCTTGCTTTCTGATGGGTCTGCATCTTGCATCTAACTCATCATCCTTCAACCTCCAGTTCTTTGGACTTGACCAGTGGCCTGCTTTACTATCTATCTGTCTGTCTGCCAGACTTGCCTGACCTTGGTTCATCTGATCTGGACTTAGGACTCTCCTACCTCAACAGTTGTGAGTTATTTCTTTGATATAAACTTCTCTTTGTATCATATATACATATATACACACACATATAATTTCACTGGTTTTGCTTCTCTAGAGAACCCAGTCTACGACAGTGGTATAAACAGTTAATGCACTTCATTGCTAACCATAAGGTTGGAAGTTCAAGTCCACCCAGAGATGTGTTGGGAGAAAAGCCAGAAGTTTACTTCTGCAAAATCAGCCATTGAAAATCCTATAGAGAAACAGTCCTACTCTGACTGGGGTCACTAGAATTGGATCGACTTGATGACAATTGCTTTTGTTTTGATTTATCTTAAAAATCACCCCTACAAAGTTCTTATGAAGATTAAAGTCAATGAAAAATTGGTATCTGAACATTCTTCATAAGCTGAAAAGCTCTATGCAAAAGCTAGTGACCAGAGGAGCTGAAGCATGAGAGGGTAGCAGGGGGGTGTCAGTCCTGGGAAAAGACACAGATGCAGCCTGTGGTTTCATTTTGTCCCTCAAGAACAGGGACAGCAAGCTCTGCAGCAAGCCCCGCTGCACCTGGCCTGGCCTTCCCAGGGTTCCAGAGCTGGGGGTGGGCAGAAGCAGGCTGGAGGATGTCGTGAGGAGCCATCGCTGCCCGGTGACTGTGAGGAAATTACTGAACCTCTTTGTGTCTCAGTTTCCTCATTTGTAAAACGAGGTGAAGGTTAGTTAAGATCCCTCCGTCTAGGGACTGTCCTGAAGTTTACTTGTTAAAGGGCAACATAAACCCTGGAGTGCTTAGAAAAGTGCCTGACATACAGAATGCTTTCAGTAAACACTCACTGCCATAGGGACAGCCTGGGACTGACACAGCCATACAGGAAGTTAAAGGAGCAATGCTCCCTACGTCCCAGGGCAGGAGGCAGGAGGAGTTAGTGGCAGTATGAATACTTCCTGCTTTGCAGAACGTGGGGCTGACAGGTTCTCTGCAGTAACAGTCCCGATGTCAGTGAGGAACCTCAGAGAGTCCTATTCTGCAGGGGGAGCGGCACACTCTCTGAACTGTCTGTATCCTCAGAGTCCTACCCCAGATGCAGACAAGTCTGCCCAAGGGCATCCCAACCTTGATTCAGAGACACTCGAGGTGTAACTCGGGATGCAAGTTCAGTTGGCTCTCCTTCTGCTTGTGAACCCTAATCCATACCCAGATGGTTTGAAAGTTCAGAGCCAGAGGTCCAGGAGATTGGTAATTTTTGACCTGTCTTAGTACACTTTTCTGTTTTTCAATAATACCTCCCAAAGAGAGTTGACTTGATCTTCTCTGCGATCAATGTGCAAATCAGAATATTTCTTTACTTTAAAAAATGTATTTGTGAATGTAAAACTAATGTTCTCCCATGTAAACTATCACATAATTCACAATAAAACATTTTAAAAAATGTATTTGTGAGGGAAGGCTGTCCCTCTATCCATGAGTACCACATATGAAGACCTCCAGGATGGACCCCACGACTTTGCCCATTTCTAATCTGTTTGTCTTTTTAAAATGTTTAGCTTGGGCACGTGCGTATGAGGTTTGTCTGGAAATGTGTCCCTGAGGCTGAGCCTTGGTGAGTCCATGAAATACCCTAACGTTAATACCAGACAGTGTGTGTGATGCCTCAGTAGGAGGTGTCTGAGTAAGCAGGGAGGGGTCATGCCAACACTGAACAAACATGACCGGCAGGCAGTATTAGAACATCCCACAGTATCCAAACGTACGCAGAACTCTCCAGAAAGAAGGCACTAAAATGAAACCTGCCCATTAGCCACAAGTCTATGACCGTGAAGTTGGCCATAAAGCAGTGAACTCCCTCTTACCTTTCTTTTCTCTTCCAACTCTACTCACCCACAGTGACCTCCTCCAGGAGTTTTAAACTGACAAATAACAACTCCCACAATAAGAGGTACTAATAGTAACCACAGGACGCCCTCATCTTGGCAAATAGGGGACAGTCTGAATATCTTACACCGCTACGTTTTATTTTATTTAAGCACAACACAGAGACTTCTACAAGGAGAATTTCTGACTCTGCAGGCTAACCTTTTGAAATTCCTTACTACGCAGATGCGGCATTTTAACAAGCAATGTGCTTTAAAAAAAAGCCTATTTCTATTCCCCACCCCCAACCCCCACCTCTCCAAATCACTTATTACCATTCCTAAATAGGAAAGCAGCAGTCTTTTATTTTACCTTTTGAGGAAAATTTTACAATAGACTGCAAAGGTACAACACCACCAATAAGACAGGTGAATAAGCTGAGACTTAAATTCACACAATTCTATTTCAAACTCTTCATTCCAGTAGATCCCAGCTCATGCCTTGTTTGACATTATTCTTCCCTCTGACCAGGGGCTGAAGCAGCAATAGAGTTTTCAGAGACCCACTCAGAATGGAAGGTCCTTACAGCCCCACGTAATGGGAATTTGAGACTGTTTAGCAGACAGGAGAACACATGATCCCTCACTTATACTAAGTGCCTCAGCTGTGAGATGCTTGTTCTGGATGGTTGCATACTAAAGGTGGACTCAGTTCCCTGGGTGCCAAGCATAGCTCTTCCTGGGGGCAGAGGTTTACACTAAGAGGAACCCACAACATGAAGTTTATATGAAATGAAATATGCTAAACACTAAAGCCATGCCACACCTTAAGACTGGGCTGCCACATGCGAGCCCCTTTCCCAATTTGGGGATACCTGAAATAACAAAGCACCCCAAAATGACTGATTCAGGATGCTCTGTTTCATAATGTACGGCGTATCACCCCACAAGCAAATGCAGTTCCCTCCATTGCTCCCACTGGTACTTAGCCCTTTCTCCATTGGAAATCATATGCATTTTCTATTGAAAAACAGCCCCCAAGTGACTTAATTTGGAATAACCAGGGTGGAGGTGGCTCTGTTACCTTCAGTGCTGGGCTTTTTCATCTCTTCCACCCTAATGAGTTTCTTTCTGACTCTGCGAGTAGAGTTTACCAGCTTGTGCAGCCTCTTAAACTTCACCGACTCCTCGGTTTCATCATCCGATTGTTCTCTTGACTGGCAAAGAAACAAAGGAAAAGTTAATCAGATCATTGCTCCTGGGCTTTGCTGCCCTGGAAGCCCGATGGAATCCAGCCTCACTGCCCGCCTGGCCCCGGGCAGTTTTGAAGTGCCCCCAACAGGTTCCCGAAGCTCCATATACCATGGTAACGTCTAATTTGGTGTAGAACTAGGTCCTGGGAACCCAAGCACACATCCTGGCCCTGGACTTGACTGGAATGCAATTTGTCTCAACGTCTTCCATGTCTCCTTTTAGGGTGACTCCGCAGGACTCTCTCCCAGGCCGGCCCTGTAATTCCAGCTACGAGGCTGTGGTTTGGGTAAGGCTGTCATCCGTCTGGTCCATCAGGACTTGCAGTTGAACGTGGTGATCAACTCCTTCTCCAAACCCAAACTTTGTTGACTTTTTCCAGTCCTCCCCGAAATAAAAAACAGTCGGGCAGGAAAGGGAAAGAGATGCAAAACTCAGCCTGCTGCTCTCTCCCTTTTGCTAGGAACGGTCGGCCACACCACAGCCTTCCCTTCCGCCTCTTTTCGAGAGCTTACAAGGCGGGCCTGAAGACAGAGCCTGCATTCCTCCAAGTGGGACTAGGGAAAAAGCTGACCTTTTCAGTCATACAGTCCAGTCCAATTCCCCAGCATCCAATTCCATTCTGCAGCGATTCCAGTGTGCTCGGGCCCAGCTGTTTTCCCTCAAGTATCAAACATTACAGAGAGAGAAAAAATGCTCTCGCAGCAGCAGAGACCCAGGCTCAAACAATCCTTTCCTTGTGAACAAAACTCAGCTCCAACATTCAACATGCTGCTTCCTCTACTTTATCTGTTTAAAATGTGGAAAAGCAAAAGCAGCAGCCAGCTCCGAACACGTGCTGCCCGGGCCAGGGCTGGGGCAGTCCAGGAGCTGAGAACCCAGTTTGCATGCTCTGTGCTGTGCACGACCAGCTCCAGCTAATCCTTCACATCCTGCCAATGAGTCCCACTCCATTTCCTCAAGCCTGGTTTGCTGAAACCATCGGGATTGAAATCCCTCACAGAAACAAAACCCACATCCCTGATATGCATCTAACGGGAGACTTTTTTTTTTTTTTTTAATTCCACAATGAGCTCTCACGAATCCCAATTTTACAGACAATAAAAAAGGAAAGCAAGAGTTAGTAAAAGACATTTCAAGAGGAGAGGGAGGTGGAGATCACAGTAATAATTTAGACATAAAAATGGGACCTATTGTGGCATTCCTAAATATTTTCTTAGCACGATGGAACAAAGGAACAGAGACAACCCATTCTTGGACTTTGTCCCCAGTTTGTGAATCTCTGTGTGGTACAGTTACTACTTATGAAAAGGTTGGGAGTTCGAGTCCTACAAGAGGTACCTCAGAAGAAAGGTCTGGTGATCTGCTTCTGAAAGGTCACAACCTGGAAAACTCTACAGATCACAATTCTTCTCTGAAGCACGTGGGGCTAGCATGAGTCAAAACTGGCTCAATGGAAATTGGTTTGGAATTTTTGTTTTTTGCTTATTTTTGGTGAGGGGGATCCAACCTGTAACTGACAGCATGAAGTCATAATACTCAGTCTCCACTTGACTGTGAGCAAATCACACCTGAGGAGCAGTTATTATAAACCCATAATCGGCAAGTCATTAGGATCGGGCTAGTACTCAGTCTTTCCATCTGTGAAGTGTTACTATGTCTTAATTTTGCAGAAGTTTCTAGATACAATTTTACATATGCATTTCAAAATGACGGCTAATTAGACTTGGCCACTGCAGATGATTCTGCTCAACTACTAACCTAAAGATTGGCAGTGCCGTTGAAGAAATGCCTGGCAATCCATCCCCATAAAGATTACAGCCAATATTATCCTACAAAGCAGTAACATTCTGCACTCCTGGGGTCACCATAAATCAGAATGGACTTGGTAGTCACAGACTTAGTTTTGTTTTGTTTTTCCCTTCCTCTCCCCTCCCAACCCCATGCACTGATTACTAAACAACGAAGAAAAAAATTTGGCACTCCAGATAACAGGGAAAGAAAGTGGCAATGCTTACTAATCATTAGGCTTAATACGTTTTTCTCCTCGAACTTAAAATATAAATAAAATAAAGTGGTAAGTGCAGCTGCTAATAAACAATGTATTGTTTGGTTTGAATTTCATTTTTACTTGGTTGAATCGCTGATGTAAGATGAAATGGTTAGAGTGAGTGGCCAACCAGAGGAATGACAAGTTGGTTAACCCTCATTCTGAGCAACCAGCACCTGGGATTATAGTGTATGGAATTGTAGATCAACATCGAAAATTGTTCTTTCAAGCAATTCTAACTGAAGAAGGACCAGTGTTTTATATTAACAGCACTTTGGTAAACACATGAATGGGACAAATCTGGAAGGTTTCTATAATCGCCACATGACACTTTTTGAATTTAAGTGAGAATGAAATATGTACAGATGATTTGTAATCAAGATAGAGTAAACAACATTACGGGAGGAAATCACTGAGGTCCATGTACCCTAACTGAGTCTAGCTTGCTGGTTGATGGTGGTGGTGGTGGTTATAGGTGTGAGGTGGGAAGAAAGTAAAATAAAAAGAGAAACAGATGCAGAAAGCGGTAGTGCAAAAATCTAAGCCCGCAGATACACATATGCTACATCAGAAAGCTGTGCCAGAACTTTCCTGGGTGATGTCAAAAGAGTTAAATCAGGACAACAGACGTCAAGACAAATCACTACACCCCACACACTGGCACTTCCCACTCAAACTCACAGTAGTAACAAAGTAACACATTCCAGGTATTTATTTCATTGCTTTCATAGTACACCTACTTTTGAGAAGTATGAACACATAGAGCTTTGAACAGATGTTATTTTTATTTTTCCTTTAAAAGAGAAAAGAAAAAGTATGTTTTAGAAGTGTTTACCATTTGAAGGTGTTTGCCAAGAAACTTCTTTGCAGTTTCATGTGCTGGACACCAAGACAGATGCAGCACAGCACAGATGATGAAAAGCACAAGACTACAGCATAGTTGTTTAAAAAGCATGTGCGTGCATGTGTGTTTTAATATAAAGCTTCCTCTTAGCTCAGTGGAGAAACCACTGGAGCTCAACAATGCATCCCCAGGATGCATTTTACTGATGGAGAAGATGGGCTGAATTCTCACTCCCTCCCAAGTCCCCAGAAAAAAAGAACTGTAAAATATCTGCCTTTTAAAAAATTCTTTCCAGCAGCTTTAACATAAAAATGTTGCAAAGGGCATGCATTTGTTTTAAACTCTGCATGTGGGGGAAATGGAAGGAGAAGCTTAAAGTCTCCATTTGATGTTTTTCTTTCTAAACAACCATGTACCACTTCTATAAATAACACATTGTGCTTTCTTATTCAGTAAAGACACCTGAGGATGAGGGTGTAGTAAAGGGTTTTAAAAATCAGGGCATATATAAACTATCTAACACTTTTACAACTTTTGAGTGAAACATTATGCATGTTTCTAAAGAAATCTTCCTACTTGGTGGAACATAGTAGAAGATACACAAACTCTGCATTGCACATAAAATGAATGAATGATTTCAAGAAACCGGCTCAGAACTATTATGTTGTTGTTATTAATTACCATCAAGTTGGTTCCGACCCATAGCGACTCTATATAGGATTTCCAAGGGGCAGATGGTGAGCTTGAACCACCGACCTTGCAGTTTGATGCATTACCTACAGCGCCACACCAGGATTCCAGAACTATTATAGATGAGATTTTATTTATTTATTTTTTTTAAGTGTTTTAAGTATATGCTCATGAAGCAATGGATTCACATGTAACATCTGTGAGGATGGCACAAGACGGGGTAATGGTTTGTTTTGTGGTTTATAGGGTCGCTATGAGTTGGAATTGACTGGAAGGCACGTAACAGCAACAAACAGCATGTATATTGAAACATGAGATGGTTTTTGTGTCCTGCCTGTGCTAACCCTCAAAGAGAACAATCAAATAGACTTTAATTCTAATAACTTCTAAACCAGAAGGGGAAACTCCGTCATCTACGTAGGTTCCCCACTTTCAAACTGTTAATAGAAAAAGGCAACATATCCCACAAAAGGATGTAGAAAAACAGATTTACAGGATTGTAAATAGAAACAGTTGATTTCCAGTCTCTCCACTGCAGATTTTTTTCCACCAGAAAGCCCATATGGCCCAACTTCGAATGACTTTGGCTAATACTATATGTAATAATTCTGTGGTGGATGCTTAAGTGTTTCATTTCTAGTTTCCAAGGCAACATTACATCAGATTGCAGACAGCTGGCTCCACAGTTTTAAACCATAACAAATTGACCAAGGCCAAGACACAAAACTCTAGCTGCTTTAAAGAGATAGCGTACCCTTCGGCTGCCAGGGTGTTGAATAAGGAACCTATGGGGGCCCATTTGGCCTGGAAAGGAGGGTGGAGCCTCCTCCCTCCCTTCCAGCTTCTTTTGGAACAAGTGTATCCTTGACACATCTGCAATGTTCTAATAGGAAAGACATGGAGCCAACGTGGAGGACTTTTTATAACACAGCTACATGAAGGGCAGTCCAGAGAAAGGGAGCAGAATTAATAGCTTCTGTATATGCCAAGGTCTGTATATCGGACCAACTACATCCAACCCCTCAACGCTCCACTTCAGCCTGCAACTGCTCGTTGGTACCAGATACTTCACTTTCCTACAACTAGAGAACACCAGAGCAAATGCTTTCCAAAAGCCACTCGGTATAGTCATGTAGGCTAAACAGAACCTGTAAGAGGTAACACGAGCCCTTCTGGGGACTGTCTGAGACCACGCTGAACACAGGCTTACAAGTGTGCCCTTAGCAAAACATACTCATTCAGCAAGCTCTCCAGCTCCGAACATTTAGGGTGCTACTACACGGGAACAACCAGACTAAGCCATTGTTTCTCCCCCAGAGCCAGGCACACAATGCTTTAAGATAACCAAACATTTACCGAAGTATTTTGGAATTGGAAATGCA